ATTGATGATTGATTGATGATTGATTGATGATTGATTGATGATTGATTGATGATTGATTGATGATTGAGTGATGATTGATTGATGATTGATTGATGATTGATTGATGATTGATTAATGATTGATTAATGATTGATTGAGTGATAATTGATTGATTGATTAATGATTGAAGATGGATTGATGATTGATTGATGATTGATGAATGATTGATGCTGATTGAAGATTGATTGATGATTGATGATTGATTGATGATTATTGCTTTATGATTTATTGATTGACGATTGGTTAATGATTGATTGATGATGAACGATTGATAATTGATGATTGATTGATTATTGATTGATTGATGATTGATTGATGATTGATTATTGATTGATTGATGATTGATTGATGATTGACGATGATTGCTTTATGTTTAATTGATTAATGATTGATTGATGATGAACGATTGGTGATTGATTGAGTGATAATTGATGATTGATTGATGTTTGATTGGCGATTGATTATTGAGTGATGATTGATGATTGACTGATGGTTGATAATTGATGATTGATAATTGATAATGGATGATTGATTGATGATTGATTGACGATTGATTGATTGATAATTGATTGATGATTGATTAATTGATTGATTGATGATTGATTGGTTGATTGATGATTGATTGATTAATGATTGATTGATGATTGAATTATTGATGATTAATGATAAATGATTGATAATTGATTGATTGATGATTGATTGATTATTGATTATTGATTGATGATTGATTGATTGATTGATGATGATTGATTGATGATTGACGATGATTGATTTATGATTAATTGATTAATGATTGATTGATGATGAACGATTGATGATTGATTGATGATTGATGATTGATTGATGATTGATTGATGATTGATTGGCGATTGATTGATTATTGATTGATGATTGATTGGCGATTGATTGATGGTTGACTGATGGTTGATAATTGATGATTGATAATTGATAATTGATGTGTGATTGATGATTGATGATTGATTGATGATTGGTTGATTGATGATTTGTTAATGATGATTGATTTTTTGATGATTGATTGGATGATTGATGATTTTTGGACGATTGATTGGATGACTGATGATTGATTGGATGATTGATGAATGATTGATTATTATTTTGTGTACTTAGTATTTTTTGGCAGCAAGAAGCTGTTGGGTACAACGGTGTAATAAAATAAATCACGTTCGTGGTATAACCATTTTACAGTTAAATTGCCATTACTTTATCACAAACTTAATTTTGAGTATCCAGACTATCCGTGAAGGCGTTCAGGGTTTTCTTTTGTAAACAGTGTGCGGGAAGGGATTTCCACGGATTTACCACTCGTGAAGTGTAGATTCCGTACGTTTAGTAAAAACGTTTTATAATGTTCATGATAAATATTTAGAAAATAATTTTATAATATTCATTCAAGATTGTAAAAGTTTCTATACTATCACTCCTATTTCTTCTCTCTTCTAATATCAGAAGTGATATTTCACCGCGTCTTCCTTCATAATGCAATTGATATAGTTCTCTAGGGATCTTGATAATCTGCCATTGTACTCTTTTAATATTTTTTAAATATTTTTGATAATAAGAGGACCAAACCACATTAGCATATTCTAGTTTATGTGTAATATACGTCGTATACGTCAGTATTGCAATGTAGATGATGCCTTTCGGATCAGGTATAATAGCTTATTGACTCTTTTGGTAACAGCAGCAACTTGGTTATCCCATTTCAAATTTCGAGTGATAAGAACGCCGAGATCATCTTGTTTTGTCGTATAATTGAGGATGCGACTTTCAATGCTATAGTTGGGTTATTTTTTCCTAGATGGAGGACCGTACATTTATTGGAGTTTAAAGGCAGCAACCCAGATTTCGACCATTTCACCACACTGTTGAAGTCATTCTGTAACATCTTATATTTTTTTAGTGGATTTGAGAAAAGTTTGGTGTTTCCGCATAGCAATTCCAACATGAAGACAGTCGTCACGTATGCTACAAGTCTACACAATGAAAAATAATGTAGGTATATTTTACTCTATCATAATAGCTGATACAATTTTCTAAAAACAATTTTAAAATCTGACAGTTTATAAAAAAATTACGGAGGGAGAAACACGTACTCGATTAACACAAGGGCTCAAATTTCGTTGAATTGTCACTTTTCATATCCGATAAAAGGTGGATTGAAAAGTTACACATTTAATTTTATTATAAAGTGACACCTAAGCATCATTGCTTGAAATCAAGTCATGATATTTACTTCCAACAATTTTCGAAATGAAAAGGTAGTCTCTTGATAGATGTCTGATAGAATAGTTCTTCTTTAAATCAAATTTATGAACTATTGATTAATGATTTCGGGAGCGTCAACGGCTCTCATTAGTTCCCGTAAGAGTAGTGCATATTTTCCTCTGGAGGTGGTTGTAATCTTTCCCCGCTGAATAGCGAAACCTATTATTCGCCGACCTATTTAGTCGGGTAGCGGGGTGCTCCCTAAGTAGGTATATCCCGTTAGCGGGGCACCGCCCCAGCCGGAACAATCTCTAAGCTCCTGACTGGTCTCTCGGCAACTGTTAATGTTGTGCATGTAAGTATAAGTGTGTAAGGGATGAGGAAGGAAAGATAGCGCGCGGTCCGTTTGTTTGGGTACTGCTCCGGTATTCGCTTGGTGTTGATCGGAGAAACCCCGGAAAACTACCGGTCAGAACTGCCCGTCACTAGAATTACCCTCCATACTTCGACTAAATTTAACCTATCTACCTAGTGCCGAAAATCCTGCAACCGTCGAGACTCGAACCTAGGACCTGCCGGTCATGATGCTTTCCAGTGACATCAGTTGATGCCCTGTGTCACCTCTAGCAGTATTTGTGAACGAGATGTGCAGCCTGAATCATACACCGAATGGAAGCAAATATTCTTGTAAATAACAAAAGTGACAAGAAATTCGCGTTTGTAATTTATATAACAAGTCTCGGCAACCTCGTAATAGTACAGCCAAATACGTACTAATGCTCTAGGAAACGCTTATACACACCAGAGCTTATCATCCAACACTTTCCCGCCAAACCTTGTGGACATACCTATTTAAACTAAGGAGGTTATAATTAATATTAAGTTTTTAAATTTGTTGATACAATATAATTCTATATATTTGTTGTTTAGTCCCTTATTTTAAAATGTGGACAACTACCATGAAAAGTGCAAAAATTCTTTCACATAATAATTGAATTCACTTGTGTTACGACGTTTCAGAGACTTGTTTCCCTCATCAGGTACAACTGAAAATTTAATCATATTTTTTCATTAAATTTTTCATAAATCCAATTTTTTAAATTTTATTTAAAATTTTATAATTAAATTTTCAGTTGTACCTAATGAGGGAGACAGAACAGTCTCCGAAACGTCGTAACACGAATGAAATTATGTGAAAAAATGTTTGTCACTTTTCACGCACACGCTTTTATCCTTTATCACAGGGGTGAAGGTGAGATAGAGAAATTGGCAACACACTGCCAGGCCACTTGGAGCGCTAGTTGAAAGAATATGAAGCAATGATTGGTTAGTGGTTTTCGCTTGTTTTTTTGTACGGCACATCCAGCCTGCCTGCGTTTTCCACATGGCGGAAGAGTGAATCATATTGCTGTTGGTTACGTTCATGAGTTCCTTTAGTGTTCTGTGCGTTCATGTGTGTGTTTCGCGTTTCAAGATATTTTGTTTTAGCGGACACAATAACAACAGTTTCGAGTTTTTTCCATTTCGATTTGCTGGTCTTAGTGGAATACAATGATGTTTCGCAATATAGAGGTTAGCATTTAATTTAAAGTGTCATTCACGATTATTTGTATGAAATTTGTAGCGTACTATATTCACATAACACTATAAGGAAAATATGTATTTTTTGTAATGTAATGATTTATTATGATTTGTTATTTAATGTAATATTTTTAAAGAATGTTCATGAATATATGCATACATTTCTAGAAAACAAATAGTCATTAAAATAATTTGGAAAGAAGGTTTTGCTTTAATTCCAAATCATCTGATGATACATTATTTGTTAAGTGATTTATCCGAAGAACTTACTTTTGTGTGTTTTTTAATATACAAATATGTAATAGATGAAAAACAAAAAATAGAAACTAAAAAAATATACAAAAGGTCATGAAAAGGTTACAAATTTAAAATGTTGAAGTCTGTATTGAATATTGTTTAATATAAATTGTACAATATAGGTAATGATTTATTTACTTATTTATTTATTCATTTTGATTTCTTCATTTCTGCCCTTACCACGTAATTAGATGACTCTCCTCAGTTATGACCTTACCCAAGTGCATTACGAAAATAGATAATTACTATATTTGAGAAAAATTGCAGTATAATGTAGCCTATTAATATCCATTAACTTTCGCGAAGACGATTGAGTGAAATTAACTTTCATACGCTACGCTGGGTGGGCGGTTTTGTGTAGTTCTTTGCTAGGCCACTTGGAGTGCTGTGAGCGACTTTTGTTTCCGACGTTTACCATTGAGGGTGCATTTCTATCCTTTATTGTTCTGTGCTTTTCACTGTGGTTATCCATAATTTAAAATAAGGGACTAAACAAAATTAAATAAGGGACTAAAAAAAATTAAACATTAATATATTCTCATAGGTTATAATACATTATAACCTCCTTGATATAAACATTGGTAACTCTGCGGCAAAGAATAAAAATGTGTTGTGTACGTGCGTGTTCGCTTGTTCTTAACGGCGGCAGATAGTACACCCCAATATAAACGTAGTGGCATTCTAAGATAACGAACTGGAAGAAGAGGGGAACACTACCACCCAATCGGAAGCTCCAATACCAAACATTTCAGTCGTAACGAAGCTCTCGATTGATTGCATGATAGTGTTCCCCTCTCCATCAAGCAAGAGACATGTAAGTGCCACAGTGTTGAAATTGGACTGTGCTCTGACTGCAGGAGTCGCACGACAGGCGCAATATACTCTCTGAGGCGCACGGGGTGGTTTTGGATTGTTGAGTAGATGGGACAATGCAGAGGGACGGTGTTCTTTCGTGGAGGACTAGTTGTTCGTTTGTAAATTTCTGAACATTTGGCTGGATGATATGAATATCAGTTCGATTTCTTTGACTTATTTTCAGTAACATTCATCTCCGTTTTACAAAAGATTTATTGGGAAATAATCAGCGTTCTGGTGAAAATTTTTTAAGCCTAATAAAAATTCAAATTCGTTGCCGGCCCGCACGGGAAGGAAAATTTATTTGTGGAAGTGTGTTATTTTTATTTTCATAAGTATTGTTTTGTGTGCCGTTTTTCGTGTTATTTTAATTCCATAGTATTGACCTCGTCCTTTCAAATGACGAAGATAAATTAATTATAATTATTTGTATTTATTTGGTCATTAAATACGTGGATCTAGTAACGAAAGAGGATGTATTCCGTTTTTGGGATTCCTTTGGTTGGGACACTTTTTGTGCCTATATTGATAGGTGCTTTAACGTTCGTGATATGGTGTGCATGTGCTAGGAAGGAACATGTACCTCTGATAGAAACAATTCCTTACAAAGAAAATGATAGTAAAATTGTGAACGTTAGTGAAATAAATTCGAGTACATTTTTGGAAAAAGACTCTAAAAAGAAAAAGAAGAAATGTAAGAAGGATGGAGGATGTTGTTCCAAAACAGACAAAACAAGTGAATCACATCAAGAAAGTGTTGAAATTATTAAAATATTTTATGCTACTCTTACAGGAAAAGCTGAGGTTTGTTTTCCGAAATAAATCTTTAAACCATTTGTGTGTGTTTTATTATGTAACAATGATTATTTTACAGATCAGTAATGTTCTTTACAGGTCTGTAAAGTCAGAAGGGCATGTGAAAGTCTTAAACCTTCATAAGATTGTGTTTTGAAATTCAGGTGCCGCAGGTTGCAGGTTTTTAAATGTATTTGTTTGAACTGTTTATTCAATATATTTACTGGTATATTTTCAGGAATTCAGCATATCCTTATCTAAGAAGTTATCAGAAATTGGATTCAGGGCTGAAATTGTGAATTTATCGTCTTATGATCCTGAAGATAAACTTGTCAATGAGGTGAGTGTGAATAGTAATGTAATGTACAAGTTGTTTTTCAGTTTATATTCAGAATATGTTGGCTGAAATGTAGTATACGGTAAAACATAAGGAAGTCGTTTAAACCTGCACTTCGCGCCGTTCCGCCGTTAACTAGGCAGTTAGAATTCTGGAGGCTTTCTTGAAAAGTGATGTCTTATTAAAGTGAATTGGTAATTATGCGTTGGATAGACTCGAGGATGTTTATAGTAAATGCAAGGGCTGAAGGTCTTGCCGTGACTTGGATCCGGGCAAGCTAAGCGAGAAAACTTTCACTTTGAATGTAAATTGGCATTACAGTGCGGCGGGGACAAGGTAAATGAAGGGCGAATCATGAAAATTGCCTATCTGTAAGTTTTATTCATTTCTATTAGAGCACATACAGTAATTAGACCTTAAGCCCTGCCGCCACGCTTGAGTGTACCATATACTAAACTGTAACCAAACTTATTTTCTTCTGTAGCATCGTTGATTATTTTCAATGAGATAATTGAGAAAAAGTAATGTTGTTATTTATGGTCCCTTTGTGTAGAAGTCTGGGCGTTCGGTGTGTGTTTTTATTTTGCCAACATACACTGATGGTACACCTCCACCTGATGGAGAATGGTTTTACAAGTGGTTGGAAGAAGCATCTACCGACTTTCGAATGGGGAAATGTTTGTTGGAAGGCTTGAAGTATGCAGTGTTTGGACTGGGAAACTCACAGTATTCAGAACATTTCAATGTTGTAAGTATTGCTTGTTTGTTGCGTGTATTACATGTAAGACTTAAAAAGTACATTTGAGTTTTGTAAGATTAGTTCTGTAATACGGATTCCATACATCCTGGTTTTCCAGAGACTCTGAGATTTTTAACCTTTGTCACTGTGTCCGAACAAATCATTTCGGGATGCGAAAATATCGCAAGTTTTTAGAAAAGTTTGACAAGTTTTGATAACATGTATGATTATTTTAAATCTGTGACTGAATTTCCTGATGAACTGTTTTCCAACCTGACCAAGATTCGTTAGGAAGATTTGTTTGTGTGTGTTATTCCTTTACATTTGCATGTTTAGTGGTGTCAAGTTGATTAAATCCAAAATAATCATGAGGATTCAATAAAATTTCATTTTAATAATAATAACTTAAAAAAACAAAAAACAATAAAATACCATAGATAAAGTGTATTTTCAATGAAAATTTAAAGGCACAGTTCTCGTTTATACAAGAAAATACTTACTATTTCAAAGATAAAGTGGAATGTGATTTGTCATGCAATATTGAACTGTTTAAATTTTTAAAAAAAATTTTTAATAATTAGGTTTATTTTATAATTGTCATTTGTTTCTATTATAACGAACTTTTTAAAAGCACCAATGGAAGCAAAGTATTTCTGGATTCATTAAGTATTCTGAATAAAGATTTTGTTTCATATGAGTTTTTCATATTCATAATTATGTGTTGTTTCTAACTTTCCTAGGTAGGTAAGCGTGTGGATCACTGGCTTCACAAATTGCAGGCTATCAGAGTTACTCGATTAGGTCTTGGAAATGAAGATACTGCAAACAGCAGGAATTGGAGCATTGAAGAAGATTTTAATGCTTGGAGCAATGTGCTGTTGTCCCGCTTAAAAAAGTGGCAATTATTAAATGAGGAGAAAGAAAGTAAATGTTGTTGCAAAGGCAGTGGTAATAACACAGAAGTGAGTGTAGTGGTAGTTAATTTGCTTTTGTGTGGTCATTTTTAGAAATAATGAAAATTTTCACTTAATGTTATATAGAATATCTTGCATTGTAAAATTTTCTCCCCAGGATAATACTTGCAGTGAATCTGATAGTACTTCAAACGATGGAAGTGATTCTGAAGGTGGTGTTGTAGATGTGGAGGAATTGGGTCGCTTTTCTGGGCCTTTGAAAGAAGCAAAAATTCAAGATGAAGTACTTGATGTAGGAAAAGAAATGATAACTCCTGCTCTAAGAGCATCCTTGACAAAACAAGGTTATCGCTTAATAGGGTCTCACTCAGGAGTTAAGTTGTGTCGATGGACAAAAGTAAGTAGATAATTTTTTAAAGTCAGATGTTGATATTACTGTTGCGAAAGAAATTTTATATAATGTAAGATTTCGAAGTGCATGTTTGAGAGTGTGTACACTAAATTGTTTGTGATCAAGTAATATGACATTCAATAATAATAATTATTATAATTATAATTTTGAATTTGGTAATAGACTTACACAGTGATAAGTTTCAAGTATTTTCAAAGTGTGATAACTTAAAAATGGTGTAATAACAAAAATTAACACTATATACAATTTATAAGTTACCAAGTCGATGTAAAATGATGTACTATGCAATTAATATACAATGATGAGCCTTTTAAATCTTCTTTCCTTGCAGTCAATGTTGCGGGGTAGAGGAGGATGCTATAAGCATAGTTTTTATGGTATTCAAAGCCACCAGTGTATGGAGACGACTCCTAGTCTTGCTTGTGCCAATAAATGTGTTTTTTGTTGGCGCCATCATTCTAATCCAGTAGGAACAGAGTGGAAATGGAAAATGGATCAGCCGGAGGAAATTCTTAATGAAGCTCTAAATCAACATTACAAAATGATTTATCAATTTAAAGGTAAATTAATATTGAAGTAGTTGTGCTTGGCTTTCAAAAAATGTGCACTTGAAAATTCACAAGTTTGTTCTTTTTTTTTATTTTTTAAAAGATAATGAAACATAAATAATTTTTTACAAGTTATTATCTTAATTTTTATTATTATGAATTATTATATTTTAGGGGTACCTGGTGTTCTTCCTGAGCGATTAGAGGAAGGCTTACATGCAAAACATTGTGCTCTCTCTCTTGTTGGGGAACCAATTATGTATCCTGAGATAAATAAGTTTGTGAACTTATTACACAAGAAGGGAATATCATCATTTCTTGTGACTAATGCCCAGTTCCCAGATGCAATGAGGTGATTAGCTTTTGAATAAATTGCCTAGAGGCCATCATTTTTGAATTTTAGTTTCATTTTTCCTTTTAGTTGGTTCGAAGCTTTGTATATTGACATATTTTTTCATGAATGGTACTTGAATTGATTGTAAATTTTATTTGCACTTTCTAATATTAATTTAAGCTTCATCACATTTTCCACTTACAACTATCAGATATTGCCTGTAGTAATTTTTCTTTCTATGACTGCCACTTCATCATCATTGTTTTTGAATGTTATTGACTTAGGGCGTTATATACCTCTTGTAGCGGAAGTATTGGTTAGTTCTAAATGTAAATAGTATTATAAAACAGGCAGAGAAAAGCATATGTGCAAGCATGAATGTATTTTTGTGCAGGTGAATTTGCATGTGCATGCACACATGAATGAAATAATTTTGTAATGATGAAAATGAATTGTTGTTCCAAATACAATAAGAGCATAGTTTCTTATAAAATCACAGTTGAAGTGCAAGAGGTGAGATATTAGTGACATTTGTATTATGAGTAATCTGCTTTATCATAATGTCTCTTTGTTGGGATTTAGGGATTAATAAAAAAATGACAGTATTTGAGTCCATGAACTCTATGAATATATTGCAGAGAACACCCAATGCTTTGGAAATGTGACGCTAGAGTAAAAAGGCCGCCATATTGCAGAGTGTATCTCTGTCTCTTTGGTACATTGGAATACCAGTATTGGGGCATGAGAGTAACCTGAATTTTCTTCGGGGGACCGAAAGGGAATAAGAATGATTAGTAATAAAGCACAAGTTGTATAAAAAATAATAAATATTATGAATTTAAATGAGATAGCATTAAAATTAAATTTCTCAATGTTCCTAAATAATCATGAATTCGATAAAAAAGAAATTTAATTTTCTTAAAATACCTGCATAATATGCATAAAGAAACAAACATTAAACTAACTTCCTATCAACAATCAAATTCATCTTTGCTCTTCAGTTTTGTACCCTCTCATGAACATAATAAATTACATTTCTACATCCCTTACTCAAAATTGAAAATAATGGGGATATTTGGGAACTGCTTTATCTTTAAAAGTCAGTAAAACAAAATGATAGCTCATAATATATAATATCATCACACATTAAAAAATGTGACAAGCATATTCAGTTTCTGTCTTACCAAGTTTTTCTTTCCATGTTCATTTATTGTCACATTCCTTGAACTGCTCTTAATCGATGAGTGGTATATACTCTTACAATTTCTTTTAGCAATTTTGTTTCATGTAAATTTTCACAATCAATCACAGAATTAATCGAGCCATCATAGAAATAATTATTGAAGTTCAAAATATTAAATGTGAACTCAGAATTTTTGAATGATTTGTACATTTTTGGAGCCTGGCCTCCCATGCTAGTTCTACTTCCATAGATGCTACACCATCCAAAATGACCTAAGCTGAGAATCTTTTCTTGATGGCATCCTAGATCAAATGCTTTCTTATCGACATACCATCATATGAAAGGGCACATCCCTTCATAGTGATATCTAGACGCTGTTTTCATTTAAATATTTGAAAACTTCACCAATAACAGCTGTTTCACAATAATTTACCAAAGAAATCTATGACCTTAGTCTATTTGGAGGAGGTAATGAAAATAATGATCAGATCTACTTTATGCTTTAGGAAAATATAAGTGCAAAGGAAGAGAAAATTGTTTCACAAGGTCACTGTACTGACTTCCCCTTTAATCACATTTAGAATTTTGATACTGGCTTTTGATAAAATAAAAAAAAAACAGTTAACTTGTCTTCAAGGGCTGCTTCCAAGTGAGAATTTGAGTGTCTTTTCTTTCTCAATTCTTTGATTAATTTTGCTATTTTACTAATCTTATTCCTGCTATTCAATCCCATTTGCAGAAGCTTAATATTCTTCCTCCTGATGGCTTTGGTCGGTGACTGTGGAACAGAGCCTGTCCGTCTTCTTACATTTTTGTTTACTAGGAGATTTGCACTGAGAATCAACTTCCACATCAGAATGGCCTTCTTTGTCCTGCGATACCAACAAACTCATTAATGAGGTCAAACTATTCAATATTTGGTATCATCATTGTTGAGGAATAAAGATAGATATGGAAAAATAAATATAAAACTTGTAATATTACTTACAATGACATTAAAAAGGTCCAATCACATTAATGGTTGCCTCAGAGATGTTTTTTTCCCTTGAAATGAACAGGAAAATCAAACAGAAGGAACTGCATCTTATTTCAGTAATATGACTTTCACTTCTGGTCTAACATAGAAAAGCAAGAAATTATAAGCATGTATACAGCTGAGGTAAATTTACTTACATACACTGTTGGAAGCAATGGTCACTGTCAAATTAATACTATAATTAATATTAACCTAAAGAAATCCTCAAGAAAATGTTTGCTGCAGATTGTATTTATGGATGGTTTCCATTTCTCTCTTCAGACAGCATGAATCAATTTCTTCAAAATTTCTGGTTGAAGAAAAGGAAATCTGCGTGAAGCAGAAATACAATGCGTATTTATATTGTATTTATCGTTAAAGAGTTGTGATACAGCATTGCACAATGGTGTAATTACCGAAATAAAGCCACAACCTTTCCACACCGTAACAAAACACTAATAGACACATTGGAAATGTGCTCCAGGTTTGCCAACTTGCCAGAATCAGGCTTCATGCTCCCTAAGGATTTCCAGCATTGCTTTTGTGGATCCAGTTTATAGTTATAGTTGAGATCACTAACTTGAGGTTGTTAGCCACTTGTGATGTTCTTTTCTCTTCCACTGATCAGATACTATTCCTAACATATGTACAGATACAAAGCAGCATTGCAGAAGTCTTACCTTGTGTCTATTTTTAACAGTTGTATTTTGCAAATTAATTTTTATTTAATTTTTTCTTTCTCAGGGAAATGAGCCCAGTGACACAGCTGTACGTGAGTGTTGATGCCAGTACAAAGGAGAGTTTAAAGAAAATTGATCGCCCCCTTTTTAAAGATTTTTGGGAGAGGTTCGTAGACAGTCTCATTGCTCTCTCTGAAAAAGGTCAACGAACTGTTTACCGTCTTACATTAGTAAAAGCATGGAATGTTGACGAGATAGAAAACTATGCAAAATTGGTTGGCTTTGGGAAGCCTGATTTTATTGAAGTAAAAGTAAGTAAAACTGAAACTAATATTAAAGTCTCTGCTCCATTCCTGTTGATGAATGCTTATTATTTTGTTCATAGGGTGTAACATATTGTGGTACTTCAAAGGCTAGTAATTTAAGTATGGAAAATGTCCCATGGCATGAAGAGGTAGTATCATTTGTGGAAAAATTAGCAAATTTGTTAGATGATTATGAAATTGCCTCTGAACATGAGCATTCAAACTGTGTTTTAATCGCACATAAAAAGGTAAGTGCATTGTGTATGCATTGTCTTCAAATGTTCATTTTATTCTTTGTTATTATCTGTTGTCTGTTACTCATTTTTGCAATTGCTGTACAGTTCATTGAGAATATGATTTTTGAAAATGATTTATTACAATGTTTCTTCAATCTTGCTTATTTAGATTAAGGTTGAAATAACTAAATAAGAGTAATAAACTCTAATTTAGGGCATTTTTATACACATCCCCTTTCACAAAAACAAATTGTTTACAGCAAGAAAGAACACTTCGAGTTTTTATTGTTTTAAGTGTGGGAGTACGAATATGCGGATCTTTTTAATAATGAAAATATTTACTTCGGCGTTTTCAGAAAAGGACGTAAAAAATGAAGTAGACATTGCATATACAATTCAAAAGTAATTGGTTTCTTTCTCTGTGGGATTATTATTAAATTTGTCTGCTAAAATTATATTTTGGGGATTCAGAAAACATATAAAGATTTGTGTGTTATAAATTATACCTTTTATTTTGAGTTATTGTATAATTCATTAACATGTATTGATTCAATATTAAATTAATTTTTCAATGACATTTTCATGTTTTGCCATAGAAAATCAAACTATATGATAGTAACAATATACCATAAACAGTAATTTTCCTCCAACAGTTTATTGCAGTAAAATTATTACACAAAATTTTTAAGTAAACTGGAGCTTTTGAAACTTCCACTGTATATTAAACATCACTTTCACATTTCAAAGTTGATAAGCTATTGAGGTTAGAAATGTGATTTGTGGAAGTAAATCATTTTTGTACAGCCAAATTGTGAAGAGTGGAGTTAATTGTGAAATGTCTATTTTATTTTGTTTAATTTTTCAGTTTAAAGTGAATGGTGATTGGTGGACATGGATTGATTATGATAAATTCCATGAGTTGATACAAGAATTTTATTCCAGTAACGGAGAAAAGAAATTCACAGCTTTGGTAATGATTATATCAGTTTATTCCCTAAATAAATAATGACAACATTTTGTAATTTACAAATGTATTTATATTTTATGTTAATACATTTTACAGGACTACATGGCAAAAACTCCATCCTGGGCTACGTACGGTGCTAGTGAAAAAGGATTTAATCCTAATGAGACACGATGGTACCGCAAAAACCCAGCCCGTAAAGATGTTAGTGGTTGTTGATCAAAAATATGTACTGAAATTGATTTAAGACTGATTGTAACAATTTTGAGACTATTTAAGTGTCTTTATATTAGTGTGGTAATAAATTATATTAATTCTGATTTTGGGAGTTTAATTTCAATACCATAATACTATATTATACTTATAAACAATGTTTAAGAAACTTTCTGGGATCCAACATTTGATATTCATATTATTTAAGCCTCAATAATGCAATTAGAAAACATGATACAAACACATTGGAAGACAATAGTATTATTCAGAACATAATTAAGTAACATTAAATTATAACTAAAGTAGCATTAATATTTGTTAGTTATTAAACGCTGTTGAGAATTATAACTTGATTTGCATTATGGAGTTGGTTGGTGCACAGTGAGAGATAAAACACTAAAACTATTAAAAGTTCAAAATGACAATTTCTTGTGGAATTGTGTAATACAAAATTACATATTTACATTTCAAATTATTAATTGTGATGGGTAGTGAGTGTATTATTGTTTCATACATGAAATTGCCATTAATCTCTTGTTCATAAACCTTGTAGCTATGAATTAAAAGTAGAAATTTTGGATTTTAGTATTTAATTTTGATCCTGAAGTAAACTGCCTTATATCTGTATTTCTATTCAAATTTTTGTTTGTGCCCATTATTTGCTTGTTAGAGAAGTTATTTTCTGATGATATTTTGTATGTTTCATCTGAATTTTTGAGAAACTCCAAAGCATCAAGGGTACAGTTAAGATTCTGTGAAGGAGGAGTTGGAGAGATTGGAATGAAATTAGCCTGACCATGAGGAATATAAAAATTTTCAGAGTCAAATGATGAAATATTTTTCTGTGCTTGCAAATGAGTTTGTTTGCCAAAAACAGTGTTTGGTGAAATTTCAGATAACCGTGAGAAATTTGCATGAGAAGTAGGTGAATTTTGCCTGTTTTCTAATTTGCACCTGTTACCGTACAGTAATTTTGTGACAGGATTTGTGAGGTCCAACTGTTTAGGTTTAGGGACCACACTAATGTCTGGAGCATATGAAGCAGTTTTTTTATTTTCTGTTTCTTGGGTTTCTGGTTCTAACAATTTTTCTATACCAAGATCAAAAGTAATTGTTGTTTCTGTTGGGTTTAAACGTTTATCTACTATCTCTTCGTTCTCATTGATCCATTTATTTGTTTCACCAGTGCTTAAAATATGTTCATTGTTTTTTATCCTTGTTTCTGTGTTAGGAGCAGCTTTCACAAAAATAGGGTAATATTTTGAGTAACTGTTCCGAGCCAAACTTTCTGTCTGTGTTGAATGATGAGTATAGCTTGAGCTTTGCACCAATGGACTTGCAGACCCTTCTATTCTGTTTGTAATTGTTTGTAAATTGTTGAAGTCTTTATTTTCCCCTGATAATAGAGTATTTTTGGTTAATTTTAGTTTCTCGTTAATCACAATTTGAGAAACTGTTAATGATTCCAGAGAATTGTCATTATTGCTGGTTAATTTCTCTTCGTCATTCTTTCCATTTTTGTACTGGGCATTTATCTCTTTATCTTGAGGGATGTGAAATTCAAGATTCTGTGATGGTGAACTTCTATTTCCATCACTTTGTGAAGGTCTTTGTAATAGATTTTGAACAGATTTGTTTTCATCATTGTCGTTAGGGAACATAAATCCTTTAGAAAGTGAATTGGTGGATTGTAGACATTGTTTTTGATTGTATGTATGATTATCACTTTGCTTAACTAGATTAGTTGTTTTGGTCGGTGCCCTTTCAGAGGAAGGAATTTCTTGTTCTACAGTAGAAGTTGAATTTACTTTAATTATATTTTTGGGCTTTAAAATATATTTCGAGAGGTCAATTTGAATCTGCTTTTTTATTAACTTTGTTGATAGTTTTTTTGTAGATTTTTTGCTTATACTAGAGGACTTTTTTTGGAATTGATGGATCGGGATGCTGTTTTGAATTGTTTTCTTGCTCTTTTGTTTTTCAACATGCATTTTATCATCAACTGTCTCCTTTATATTTGGTTGATTATTCACAGTTTCATTTTCTAACAAAACTTTTGGAGATGAACCTTTGAGGGTAATGTTAGTTTTTACATCCATTCCCACCCAGTTTTCACTGATAAGATGAATGAATATTTTAGATGACTGCTTGTTTTCTACTTGTATAAGCCATGAATAAAAACCATCATTATTAATTAACAATATTTCTTGAAATCGTTTGTATAATAATAATTTATTGTTGGAATCACCTGCAATAATTACCAGATTATGATAAAATCCTGGGGTACTAAAATTTTTAATGTCCTCATAATTGTTCAATTTTATTGAAATATTTAGTTTACTAGGAAATTGCTCCACAACTTCTCTAACATCAAGGGTGTACTGTGGCATGTGTAAAGCTGCTGTTTGAAGTCTGTTACCCATTGGTGGAGTTCGATTTATGATTCTTTCAAGATCTCGTGGATTTGATTCAGCAATTAATCGAAAACTAGTCTTCCCAGCAGACACTAAGAGTTGTGATAAAACTGCACCAATTCCTTCAAGTTGTCGAGATACAAGTGGAGAATCTTCCCATAGATTGCACTGAAAGCATTTACTTAAAATTGTGGCAGAGAGTAAACTCAAATATTTGTCTTGTAATGATAAAAACCTCGTTAAACATTTAGTAATTCTAATACCAATACGAACAATTTGAATTGCTTCTTGTTGAAGTGATGGTTCATGAACAACAAGACCTCCAAATACTGCTTGTATAAGACAGTTTATCTTCATTTGACTTGTTTTTATTAAACTTTTAATTGGGAAACGAATAGATTTATTAAGGAAGTTGAGTGATCGCTTCTCATTCACTCGCAATTTGAAGTCAGCAAATTCCTGGCAATTCATTACAATATTTAACATTTCAGGTATTGTCTCTTTACCAGTAATTTTGGAGAAAATTTTCATAGTTTCCAAAGACATGTAATGTTGGGCCATTAATTTTCCCGTCTCAGTTGGCCACACATATTTGACATCCATTTTCACTAGCTGTGTATTTGCTAATGCATTCATTTCAATCATGCACATTTCATGTAATTTTCCTTCAATTTCTGTCTTGTTTAAATTTCCCGATATTCCATAGTGTGAAGGATTGCACAAAGCTCTCACATAAAGAAAAGTAGAGCGTATCCAATTAATGGCAACTGCTTTTTCAGGAATTGTTGAAAGAACAATTTCTGCATTAAGATGTTCTGCCAAATGATGGTGAAGATTACTTTCTAATATATCTGTTCCTGACACTAAACTTTCATATTTTAAAATTTTATCCTGTTGAGTCATGATAATAGCTGTTGCATGGGTATCATACTGTGGCCTGCCTGCTCGACCTATCATCTGTAGAATTTGATTTGAAGAATATTCTTGGTAGCCATTGCTTGTATATTGTTGAGTAGATTTAATGATAACCAAATGTGCTGGCAAATTTACTCCCATTGCTAAAGTACTTGTAGTTATTAGTACTGGAAGTCCTCCGTTTCGAAATAAGTCTTCTATAATATGCCTATCATTCAGATCCATACCAGCATGATGGCAGCCTATGCCAGCAGCAAGGCTTTTTTTAATTGCATTTTCTTTTATATTGTCTAATGCCATATCTAATTTTCTCTTTTGTTCATTATTGAAGTGAAATGTTACTTGCTTCATTAATACATCTGCAGTTTGAGTAACTCCTTTTCGAGTACTGCAGAAAATTAGTGAAGGTTTACCTTCAGAATATTGTAAAAGGAGTTGTCGCAACTTATAACTCAATTGCATGTCAAATCGGAACTCTGTGTGATGTGGATAATGATATCCCATCACTACTTTCTGGAGTTTTACAGGTCGGTATGCTTCACCTAAACTGAAGTATTGTGCAGGGTTGTTAACATCACCTAACCAGCAAGCTACGTCTTCAATATTAGGAATAGTTGCAGAGACAGCAATAAATCTAATGAATGTAGGTACTAGAGTTCTTTTGTCTCTATTTTCTAGATTTTCATCATCTTTTATTGCTTCATGGATAGTTTTCATTCTGCTTACAACAGCTTCTAAAACAGGACCACGCTGTTCATCATTTAAGAGATGAATCTGAGAAAGTGACAAACATACAAAGTGACATGTACATAGGATATATAATAATATAATATATATAAGAATAAAATAAATGATTGAAACTTATTATGACCTCATCAAGAAGAAATAGTTTAATGGTCTGCACCATTTTCTTATTGTCTTTCCAAGTCCTTGTCAGCGAATCCCATTTTTCTGGAGTTGTTAATACTATATTAAAAGAAGACATGTTTGCTATCAAGGTTGAATCACTGTCTCCTGTTACTTCTTGACATTTCAAACCAAGAGGTGAAAATTTATATTGCCAATCTCTCAGTCTCTCGGAACATAAAGCCTTTATAGGTGCCACTATGATAGAAAAGCATTTGAAAATAATGTTTGTTGGTTGAACAAGACACTTAAAATCAGCACATTTATAATTTTGTGATCGACATACTATATATAATCATGAAATTTCCATCATGTTTCAAACTTGACATTTTTATTAAGAGATTTGTAATTGCCAGTTCAAATAAAACAGTTTTTCCAGATCCTGTAGGTGCTGAAATGACCACTGGTTTATCTACAGAGAAACGAAACAAAATCCTTTTTTTAAAACTAAAAAGTGTGTATGTTAATACAATCAGAATTGCATTAATACAATAAATGCTTTTAGTACCAGAGTATAAAATTTCATCCATTACTTTGGATTGAAATGCATTGAATGAAGGGTACATTGAAAATATATGACGGAATTCAGGAGCTACAAAGAGTTAAGTCAATATCTCAAGCTTTTAATTCCCACTTTTTGATATAACTTTAGGAAGGGCAAATTTTAACTATGGTATAATTTCAACCATAACTGTGACTACAAGGCTCATGGAATTCTTATCTATGAATCTTTTCCAAACAATATTTTAATTAAATTGTTTATCTAATTATGTATTAAGTGAGTTTAAAAAAATGGTGATAAAATACATAAGAAAATTAAAATGTAAAATAAAGAAGTATACCCTGTCATCAGGCAACCTTTTTGAGAATTATTAATTTGTAATGTTACAAAGAAAATCTATGTGGTATTTCAAAAGTGCCCAAAAGAGAGCATACAGGCAATTACTGTGATTCTTTTTTAAAATAATGAATGGTTCAGGTGCAGGGAAAAATAAACATTGAATAAAGAGACTAAAAGGGATCATTAAATGTAACTGATTATTCATGAGCACAGCACAAGAGTTCAATTACTAATGAACTTTTAGCTACATCTGTCATATGTACAGATTTTATGCCTAATAATAGATTTCAAATTGTTAAATTAGATTTTGTCGAATCATTATTCTATCTGTTTAAACTGAGTGTAAGCTTTGTGTTCTTCAGATAGGGTCTAGCCAGCCTATGATCTAATCCACAAGTGTGACTATAACTGCAATAGACTAAAGACTAAGACTGCTTTTGAAAACTTTTCCTAGAAGTGTATCATTAAAAAAAATGTAATTTTCAATTTTGAAATAAAAATTATATTATAATAAATATCTGCACAAATGATTTTAAAGGATACGAATTTCTTCAATTGCTCGAAGACCAGTTTCAGTAAACTTCTTAAAATCGTAAGTACTTCTAAAATCATAATTTGTTTCTTGATTCTGTACATTAGTCATACTTGGCGGTGGGGTTTCACTAGACATTGGACTTGAACTTGATTGTGAAACATACATATCTATTATATTTTCATCTCTTTCCATTTTCAAATTTAAATAAATTCCCTATTTATTAAAAATATTATTGAACTGTCGACTCGATTTCTATTGAAAAATAACGCTGAATTACAACACAACTTTTACAACATTACTTTTCGAGAGCAGTAGCATCGCATACGGAATATACGGTTTAAATGACCCGCTTAAGCAGTTAATAGTTGCAACATTTCCGTGTTTTGTTATGAACGCTCAAATAATTGCAGAGTTTTAAAAAACATTAAAAAACAAACAGCTTTGAAAATAATTTATAACAGTTATTTTAATAACACTTTTTGGGGCGATGTCGGAAGCAAACAAGCAGTATTGTTGATTGCTCTTTGTGATATCAATTGTTCAAAGCGTGTGTGTTTCCTCCCGCCATTTCCGAGGCTCGAAATTCGAGCTTGTTGGATGACCGCTTGTTCATCTTGAAACGAAACGACAATTATAGAAACTAGTTGTCATAAGAACCTCCTCAAAGAGATTGATGTAGTGAGGTTGATATGTCATAATGAGGGTTTTATAATCGTAAATAATCAACAATATGATGAAACAGTTCAGCAGTGTGAAGCTTGGAAACTAACCTTTAAATCTCGGAAGCAGAAAGTAGCGATGACAGGGCCAGCTGTTTTTCATGTTTTGATTGATAAACTAGGTATGCAAACGAATTTTGTTATTTTAATTATTAATATTTGCCCAAATACATTTATCACAATAAAATCTGCTCTTCCGGTATTAAGTTAAAATGAGTGCATTGATATTGTATCCCTCACCACTACAGGTCATAGATTGGAGGAAATTAGAATTCGGGCCCTTGACAATATCATTTCCAAGTTGACACTTGGCTTTATCAAGGAAAATGATCACAGAATAAGAAGAGAGTTGTTGTTAAAAATTCTGGAGTGGTTTAGATTTGAGCCATGTCTACAAAAAGAAAAAGCTTTGGGTGTTCTTTTGACTTTACTAAAGGTTGGTTTGATGTTGAATATTTTACAACAAAGATATTTAATTTTTTTTTTAAGTTTGAGATTTTGTACTTTTATAAAAATTTAATTTCTATATGATTTTCTTCTTTATTCACTTTTTATTAATATTCCAGAATTTTGTCATTGTTCGATTCGCAATTGATATAAAATACATAAATGTAATGTGTGGCCATTTTAATCAATTTTTGTTATTGAAAGTTTAAATTAGTAATTAGGTACTGATATAAAAGCATGTATTCAATTTCCTTTGGATCAGAACATCTCAATGAAACAAGATTTGAAGAATTATACTTGAATGTTTGTATTATTGTTCTAGAATTGATGTTTATTGGATATAAATCTGAACCTTACCTTCTTGGTTTGTTCAATTGCTGTGCATAAAAGTTGTGAACTACATTTTCTGACCTTCGAAAGTTTCTACTAGTGTAACTGAACTTTGTTGAAGATAATTACAGGGATTCTGTGAGATTTGGGAGTCAGAATTTACTGAAATTCGCTAGAAGTACATTTGATTAAGTGTTTTCAGTGATTCTAATCCATAGCATAACAATTTGCTTAAACAGAATATAAGGAAAAGAATCTGATTTCCAGATAATGCGGTTGTGTAGGATTTTCAACCTTTTCTCATAACCACACCCTTATAACCATACATATTTATCCTTAAATTAATATGAAATTAAATTTACTGTGAACTATTCTGCAAGCAATGAGAAAAAAATAATAACCATCTTATTTTTAGGGAAAGCTGGGGAAAAATTTAATTTTAGAAGTTGGTGTTCCAAACATTCTAGCAATTTTGTCTAACTTGAAGAATGAATCTGAACCAAATGTTAATATAATTATTTCCCAAATTGAAACTATAATTTCTGAAAAGGAATTGGAAGAAAGTAGTGCAAAGGAGTCTGCTGAATCAGAAAATAGTATTGAAATATTTGAGCAAGCATCACATCATGCAAAAAATCAAAGGTAAGTGACTACATAAATCTTCCTCTGTGATTCCTTACATTTATTTTTGTTTACATTTGTTTGCTTTCTTAGAAAATAATATACATTTAGAGTTTGTACTTTCTTTAATTCTTCAATATTTGTGGGGAAGTGTTGATAAAAAGAAGAAAATGCAGTTGTGACTTCAAGTGATTTAAGAAGTCTGTGTATGGCATTTTTATTTGTTTTTTAGACTCAACATTAAACTCTTGTCTTCTATTTTTAATAATTGAATCTCAGTTTTGTTCAAGAAATGTTAACTAGTAAAACAAAAATTCAAGATGCGGAGGTGTTTTGATGTGTTAGTTGTAGTAAATAGTTGTACAAAATTATTTTTCTTTCATTTTACTTAAAACATACAATGATTTTAACCCATTTGGTCACATTATTGTGCAAGTAGTACACTTTTTAAGCATTTGAATGTATTTGAAAAAACGTTTGCATAAAGTTTTAGTTTAAAATAACTTGAATGTCAAAATCAATTATTTTGACTACAACTACTGTGGTTGTGTAAGTTTTAAGTATTACACTCAACAAGTTGTTTGTCGAATTATTGGATTGTTTCATAGATTTAAATTCTTTGCTTGCCCATTTTATTGACATTCTTCAAAATAGTCATGAATTTCTTCAAGAATTGTTTCTAGTGTAAACAGAGGAAAGTAAACTTTGGTGAGAGTTCATTGTCTGTTTATAGGTATCAGTTCTCTCAGTTTAATTACAGTGAGATGAGAAGTCAGATGAACCAAGATCCACAAATCACATTTTGGAATTGTCTACATTACATGTATTTACCATGGCAACCCTTAGTAGCTACAGACAATCATGTTCTCTCAGCTGTTGAAGAATCACTTGGTAATATGAATGATCCAGATCTTGTCTTGCATACATGCAATTTTTTTATGGATGTGATGCTTCAAGATTTTCCAGCAGAAGTGTTTCTTCAGAGACCTACCCTTGTAAAGGTATATATATATATAGTCCGAAGAGTTTGAAGCTCCTTTTAAAAGGCACATACTGTGTAGTCAGAGGGCTTTGGGGAAAAAGAAAAAAACAACATTAAATTAAAAAAAAAAATTTAAAACACTGAAGACAACTAAATAAAGAGAAAAAATACCCTTTAACAAATGCAAGGGAACTTATTTGAATTAAATTAATTGTTTTATTCTTCAAAGCATTTTATTAGACATATAAAATGCCACTTAAGTGAGATGTTGAAAGTCTTTTAAGAGAGGTTCCTGTCTATGTATTTTGCTTTACAAGCAAAATACACTGGCAAAAAAGACAGGAACCTCTCTTAAAAGACTTTCAACATCTCACTTCTTAAGTGGCAAGATTGTCATGGTTTTTTCAGGAAGTAGACATTAAGCAGTCAAATGAATGTTACAGATTTTCCTCTCTAGTCTGGATGGAATTGCTCCTGGAACTAATAAAAAAGTGTGTTCTGCTATGTTAAAATGTTTACATAAACTTGCAGCGGCACTTTTAATTAGAATTCATTATTACAGTGACCCATCCTTGGTAAACTCTAAACAGGAGGTTAGTGTACTTTGTCACAATTCCATGGAATGTTGAAGTATTAAAAAATGTGTTAGAAAAAATTTCTTTTTTTATTTGCAGTTGTGTGCTAGAAGTCAGACTCCCAGCTACTTGTCACAGACATCAAGTCAAGCAACGGTTACTGATGATGATTTAACAAATGAACAAATAATGGTACCAAGTTGTGACAGGCAGTCGGAAGATGATTATATCAGTGCTGGTGGAGATTCTAGCCTCATCTCAAATATGAAGTCTCAAATTCACAATGTTCATTTTGGATCACATGCAAGTTATTTTTTTATGCATATGACTCCGGTTATAATGAACTTCTGGGAACTAATATTTTTTCACTATATCAGAGGTTCGCTATATCCAATGGAAGGAGGAGGACAAAAAAAAAAAAAAAAATTTATATATATGTAATATATAAATGTAATATATGTAATATATGTAAATAGTAATTTCTATATATGATATAGATTAAATATATTAATTATATATATATATATATTAGATATATATATATATTTTTTTTTCTTCTTTCAGTGCCTGTGACTTTGGTCACTCTAATAAGCTGGGCTAATTTATATTTTGTGTATGTGTGTACGCGAGCGTGTGTGTGAGAGAGTGACTGTGAGTGAGTGTCGTGGCATGAGAGAGCCCCTCACTGGCCACTACTGATCTCGAGGATTGCCAACTGGCCCTCGTAGGTGGGCCTTTGAGGAACCAAGCAGCTTGTATGAACAGAATTTCTGTGTCTTATGGGCAAACGTCCAGCACATGCATTGGAGGCTTCGAAAGCCCAGAGCCTTTGTTCTCTCTTATGTAGATTCACAATTGAGTGGGATGTACAAGTTGTCAAACCTACAAAGTCAGACGAATCATGTTTGTTCATTAACAAATTATGAATAAATACTTTATAAAGTGATAATTTTTTTAAATGAAAAAAGCATTTGTTACTTTTCATAAAATATTTGTTTAGGCTCTGCCCTGCAACCTAATAGAAGGTACGCCACTGACTATAATCGAATCTTCTTATGCTTATTTGAAATGTAAGTGAATTAGGACCTGTGACTCAAGTTCACTATAACCGCAGTCGACTGTGTCAGTTATCTGAAAAATATTTTTGTCTGAATTAAAAGAAGAATGCAATAGATTCCTCTACATGTTTACAGGTTAAGAAGAAAGGAAAGTGTGACGTTGATACTGATGCTGAAGATTCAGTTTTACTGCAGTTCCAGCAGATGAGTTTGCCTATGTTTTGCATGCAAGCTCTTCATCAGGCCATTTTCCATCGCTCTATTCATTTAACATTAGAGCTCATAAAGCTATCAAACTTATGTATTTCACATATGATGTGGGCAAGCCAAGATGCTTCAATTTTAGAAGTAGTTGGAAAAGTCTCTCATGTACTTGAATTACTGGGCGATGCCATTAAACAACATAAAAGGTATATTTATATATAAATCTCTCTCTCTCTCTCAATCTCTCTGTATATATATCTCTGGGTGCATGTGTGGGTGTGTGTGTGTGTGTGTGTGTGTATTGTTCTAAATAAAGCAACAATGTGAATCATTAATTTTTCTTAATAGATGTTCATTTCTATTTCCATTAATTTGTATAAATATTGGAATATATTTTTACAGAGCATCCCAAACAGAAGAAGAAGCCCGTTTGACTTATCTTCAGACTTTGGCAGTTACACGAAGATTTCTTGTGTCTGCCGTTCCTTTAGAAATTGCGGACATTGTAATTCCAAGGAATTTAAAATCTGCTCTTGTTATTTCTCTCTTAGATTATTCTCTTTTGTGCATGATGCCAGAACTTCATCAAGATCTCCTTAGTTATTGTGAGGTTGGTAAAAATTAATAGGAAGAGCCTTTATTTCATTTCCTTATTAAAGTTTAAGCTGTATAAATTGTTTATCTTCTTAATTGAATTTGTTGTTCAGTTAAATTAAGTTATCTTGTCATGTATGTCACTAAAATGGAACATGGACATTTCAGAAATTTACAGGTTCCCAGTATATAGATGTTCTCAGCCACTATAACAACACAATTAACATTGCTACTTCCATGGCAGCTACAGTAAACTTCTTGAAAAACTATGATAGATTGGATGGAAATAAAATTTTAGATTTAGCAGAAGAGGCTTTGCCGAGTCTTGCATTTCACAAAGCTGCCTCATTTGTCAGGATTGCTTTGGAAATATGTGCAAATAAAATGGGAAGGTAAGTAATAGGGTTACCAGCAAATTCTTTCCATAAATCTTTTGACCTTTAGTTGGATAAGCAAATGTTTTTAAACTAATTAATGCTGTATCCCGTTGAGGTGAGCCGGTGCATGTCCTATTGAAATGCAAAGGTTTCATGTGTTTTTTTTCCCGTGTGTATGTGTGGGGGAGTGCCTTAGCATGTGCATGCGTGCTTGTGTGCAGGGGTACCTCCCATCCCTCACATTCACTGTAACGTTTACTTCCCTCCAAGACAGAGTGAATCTGCTGAAAAAATTTGGGGCTTGATCAATTGATAGTCTTGGTAGTCAGTGGTGTAAATGCCCACAGTCCTCTGTGGGGCTCTTACCGCACTTGAGAGGCGACATATTGGAATCGGTAATAGACACATTGAACTTGCAGGTAATCCAACTCATTTCGTCGAGCCACAAACTCTAGCGCATGTATTAATCTGCTACATTAACTACATTTGCTCATAGTTTAATATTGTAATAACATTTGTTTTAACAAATTAATTAATTCATTTCAACTAACCATATTTAAATTAACATTAATTTTATTTATTAGCCTAAACATACGTCAAAGTGGGGCATTATGTCAAACATTAGTTATGTTGTCATTGTCGCTGTAGGGGTGTAAAAATAAAACATTATTAGATCTAAGATTCCCTGCAGGGATTTTCCACAAAATAATATATAATAAATATGGTCAGTCAACATTATTATGTAAAAGGTTGTTTGAAAAAACAATATCTCGTTAAGTTTCAATATGACAAAAGAAAAATGTTCAAAATTTCAGAAATTTGCAAATAGTCATGGGATATTCTAGGTGATGGGAATTTTAAAAGCTACATAAGTAAAAAAATTGTGTTGAATTGATTCAATTTTATCGATGTGTAAAGGAAAAGGAGACGAGGTGGGAAGCATGTAGCAAAAGTCTTTAAGTGTGAAATATAACATTTTAAATAATTTGGAATTAGAGAAGTCTGTCATATTATGTTTTACAAATCCCAGCTCATGTAAAACCTTTTTTCTTATATGATCAATATGAAAATTAAATTTCAGTTTTTCATCAAAGATGACATCTAAATTTTAAATTGTACGACAGATTCTAAGATATAATTATCAATATTATAAGAGAATACTATTGGTGATCTTGCTTCAGAAAAATTCATTACTTATGGTTTGAGAGAAAAGAGCCAAATATAGTTTTTTTCTATATTTTGCTTGGCTTCTTTCATGCCAATAAGTTTTTATAATTGTCTTCTGTTTTTTTGTTTGATTTATTTTGTGCAGTCTAAGTTTTTATTTTTTTAATTGTAAATTATTTCGTAATCAATGAACCTTAGTCAATGAAATAATCTCATAATCTCATCTCATAATCTTTCACAAATTACTATAAAATGATTTTAAAAAAATTAATTCGCCAGCAGAAAGTAAGAATTATTTTTCTGTGAAACTGTTTCTTTTCCTATCAGCAAATTCTATACCTGAGCCATTTAATACTTCTATATCATATACAGATACGAGTGGAAAAAATGCACATACTAGTTAAAAATTCAAATCATATGTACCTGATACATCATTATAAAACTTGTATATTTGCCCAGTTTAACTTCTGCTTATAGATGAATAGTTTAATTCCTCTCTCTGAGATTTTTTTTATGCCTCTACGATTTCATATGTTTTATTTACCATAATTCATAATTTATTTCACTGTAAGGAAGATTTATGTTTAAAATATGGATTTCAATTTCAGGTGGACTGTAAATGAAGATGTACAGAGAAAAGTTACAAAAATAATATTATACCTTCTCACGCACTCTGAAGTTGATATTAAACATGAAATGTATGCTATCTGCCATACTTACATTGTTTCAACCTTTGGAGTAGAACAACATAATCCTTCTGCATGGGGACCTTCTCATTTGTCTTTTCTGTTTCAAGTCAATGTCCTGACAGAAATTATATGCCATGGAGTAGCTAGTGATGATGAAAAGGTATGTCATTCAAATTTGTTTGAAGATACTAAATAATCAACTAATTTTAATATAAATGAAAATATTCGAATGTTTCTTGTTTTGTTTTATTTTGTTTTATTTATGATATGTTATTTAATGTATTTTTTGTTAACTTTGCTAACATAAGTATATACTGATTATTACTGTTAATTTTTCAGTAGAAAATTTGAAAGCAGAATGTAATTTTTCATATCAAATTTGTCGGAATAAAGTGCTGAGGTGCTTTTTTATGTTTTTGTTTTTCAGATTAGTAAATACTCTTCAGATATATTGATTCACTTTCTTAAAGCAAAAATGTTAATGCCTGCATCTTTGTGGCAAACATTTGTTGAGCAGTTGATTGCCACAATGCCATTATTAGAATGTTATGCTGATAAATCTACTAACTTAGGGCGTACCATTGTGGAAATGCTGAATCCCAAAACTGCTGAATCCATATGTATTCCAAAAGTTGAAGTAAGTTTCATCAGTTTTAGAAAAAACGTTTGCTGAGTATTGTAAAATATTTGCTGATGAATTATTGATTTCTTCATAGGTATTGAAAGGGAATCTTCGCTTGTTGTTTACAACTGATGACTTTGTAAGAAATGAAGCTCTATCACGCTTGATAACATTGGTTTCATTAGAGGAAAATTCCTTAGAAAAGTTACCTGATGTTGCATCTTTACATGTGAGGACTTTAAGTACATATTCACTCTTCGATAACCCTTTGGATGTTACCGTTCCAAGAAAGCCCAGCAGCTTTTATGAGGTATGAATCTGCATTAAGGTAGTATAGATACGTCAAGATTAATAAGTGTACTCAGTGAATTCTGTGCTGTAGATTTTGTTGTCAGTAACATGCTATGGATAATAATATTGGTTCATTTGCCAGTGCAAATCAACCAGTATTATAATGTGTGAGGGTGAGGAAAATTTGATTGATTTTTGTATTCTTCTGGCGTGGGTAGAATTTGGTGTAGAAAGTGGGTAGAATTTTTATTTAATTTATATAAATAATTTAATTTTTTGATGATGTGAACCACATTTTTTTTTCTTCAGATAAGCAGTTTGTGCCAAGTTGTGGAAGTTCTCAAAGCAGACACCACTGAACCCCGTGTTCACAGATCTGCTCTTAGTCAAATAGCTGCTATGTTGGAAGACCCTCATCTTCATTTATCATTTTTAGAACAAAAAGGAATTGATATTTGTCTGAATATAATCCGGAAAGCTGTGGTTAGTAATCATTAAATTATTTTTTTTAGTTCTTACAGAGACCAGCGAGGAAGATGTTAGGAACTAGTTACTCATTAATGACTATTAATATTGAGTTACAGTAAAACTTTTTGACATAAGCAAGTTTTAAATGAAAGTTTATATTTGTCTATTAAAAGTCAGATTATTGAATAGCTGAGTTACCTATTTTATTGATTAGTAAGATACTGACTTTTGTAATGTTTGTATCTATAGTATTAATGTTTCCTAATTATACTGAGGATTCAATGATATATTTTTGTTTTGCTTCTGGATGAAAGTAGATAGCCTTTGTTAAATTTCATATTTATTTCCTAAATTTTAAGTAAAAAAATATATCATGAACCTCTTTTTATGGAAACTGTATTAAAAAGTTTACTACAAATTCACTATGCCTAACTTTGTATGACTGATGTTATCATCCCTAAAAATATAGTGCATACATGAGGAGCACATCTGAGCACACAGTGTGATCTGCTACTTCACATTTGAAATAAAGGTCATATTATTTATTTTTACTACGTCTGCTTTTACAGTTCCTTCTCAGTGTTGCGGAACATTTGGTGTATTAACCCATGTACAGTATAGTATATGTGCAAAATACTTTCTTAAAAAAGTTAATACTGAAAATCTCACTAAAATTTACACAGCATTACTTCTACTATTGAATCATTCGTGCTTTTTCATGAAACCAGTTCTGTTCCCATAACATTCAATGATTGCCTTTTTTTGTTCTCTGTGCCTTCTTATTGAGTAACAAACTAAACTATTTTTTATTACATTTTCATCATAGTTTTCAAAAAGATAAGAAGATTTGAGTGAACAGATGAAATGTACATCTAGGTTCTTGTCAAGAATCCAAGGCTCAACCGTTGTATACACTTAAGGGGGTCTTTCAAAACAGATTTTTAGAGATTGATTTTAAGAAAACGTAGGCATGAATACGTAGGCATAAGAATCTCATTTTCATCCTTGGTGCCAGAAAAAATAAGAAGTTAGTACGTTTACAGATTAAGGCAAATTACATTGTTCCTCAGTGGCTTGTATTTTTTTGTAAGGGGCTTAGAGTTTATTGGTGTCATGGTGATAATATGTTATTTCTTTATTGTGCTAAATGGTAGATTTTTATAAATAAGTTTGAGGTTTAGAAATTAGCCCAGAAAACATTAGGGATAAACCTATCCATTTTAAAATTAATTTTCTTTGATTATTAAATTTCTAGAATTGTAATTAAAAAAGTAAGTATTCAGGTTTGTATATGTTAATGTACTTTAAACATTAATGTCAAATATTTAAAATGTACACAATCTTGTTAATTTTGAATGTAAATAATTAATTTTTTGGTGTTGATCTTTTTTCTTAAACTTTATTATATTCTAAATTCTCTGTTTACTTAGAATTTTTTAATTATTTATTTATAATGAGAGATTTGTAATGCATTTGTAAACTTGTTTCAGGTTGAAAAGTGTTATAACTATTATCCAGATTCAGTTATTTCCATTATTAATGTTTTAAAAAACATGTGTTATCATAATTGTAATGTAAGGTTTACTCTCTCTCAAGACGTAGTATTGTTTTATTGCATTTTAAGAGGTATCATTCTTTTTTATTTAGCTTACCTTATTATTTGATATTGATGAATTCTACAAATTTCATTTTGTTTTGTTGCTTTTTCACTTTTGCAGCTCTTTTTATGTTTGGCAGTAATAGAAGTTTTCGACAGGATGTTGCACAACTTCTCTGTCTTTTATTGTATTCGGATTATATATTATCTGTGCCTGATAGCCAGTTAAATAACTCTTCAATCATGCATCCATTTTCTTTGCCAGAACTTGTTGTGAAACATATGAAGTTGCCTTTTCGTACTCTCATACATTGGAGTACAAGCCCACATACATCACCTTCGTACAGAGGTAACGTTGTTGTGCTTTCACAACTAAAATTGACAGAGTTTTGGGTTTCTGTACTTCCCAACTTTTTTATTTCCTTAGCTCTCCTTAGTCATGAAGATTCTCGAATGTTTTTGAGAATGTGTTGGACATCAGAATGGTTTGGAGGAGTGAAGCAGATTTTGTCCTGGCATTCTATTAAACTTACAGAACAGTCAGAATTTTCTCCAGATCTTAGAGCATCTCAAAGTGATTTAGATTGTCTAAAATGCACGGCTCTAAATCATTGTTCTAAGCAATGTTTATATAGCATACAAAATGGTACGACTCACCAGTCTGTTGAAAATGCAGTGAAGCGCATGTTGGGGTGAGTATCAGCAATTCAATGAGAGTGTAAATAGTAATTGTTAACTTACAGTTACTTCAATTTTAGGTATGTTACTCTACAAGCACTCTTGAAAGAAAGAAATGATTTTGAATTTCAAGGCAATTGGAAGAGTATGCCTTGGGAAACAACATTACTCAGATTCTTTGGAACTTCTCCTGCTTGTCCAGAAGATGAAGATTTATTGATATCACTCCTTCAATTTTTGTGTGTGTGTGTACAGCATCTTTCTGCTACAGGTAAGTATTTTTTCCCTTAAAGTAAAATAATTTTAACAAATGTTGGTACAGTATAATGTTAGTAAAACAGGAAGATTTATGTAAGTTACATTTTGCATTTCAGAAATACGAAAACCACAGTGGACATGGGTATATAGAATTCTGAAAGATCCATCTCAACCTTTACCTTGTATGTTAAAGATGGATTCAGCAACTGTTTCAAAAAACATAAGTCGAGAAATTCTTCAATTGTGTCAAGATTGTTGCCTCTTGGAACATCAATTAGAAGAGGATGAAAATGGAAAAAACAAAGCTGATGTTGTATCTTGGGTGTATTTGGTCAACATAATTTCTCAAAATCTGAAGTTCAGTGATACTCAACACTTTTATAATTTAGGTAGATGGTCCTCTCCTTTTATTTCACTTGCATTTGTTTTGTATTTGAATAAGTTTTGTGGTCATGTAAGTACATTTTTGTATAATAAAGCAAACAGCAATATTTTTGCTTGAATGGAACATTAATTGAAAATAACTATTTGAAATAATGAATTTGTTGCATTAAAAAAAAAAAGAATTATATTTAGATCATTTGATAGATTGTTTTGCAGTTACTGCACTTGATAATGCAGAGGGTCCCTTAACATGCATCATTTGGCACAAAATATTTGCCGATTTCACAGCTTTATGTACACGTGTGCCCTTCTGTCAACTTTATTTTTGTGTTCACCACTGCTCTGCCTTGTTTTTTGAGTTTTGTGTATCTGAGTGTGTATTATGTGTGTCAAATATAAAAAAAAGCATTTATAAACAAGAGCTACAAGTATGTTTTACATTTTTCGGAAGATCTAACGAAGATTTGGCCAATATTTGTAATGAAAAGAATAAATATGTGGTGAACAATATTATACTCAGACTCAATGCATTAGCATCAATCCTGTGATTTTCTGTGCATTTTGTTGATATTACTCTGGCTTTGTTTCATTTGAGTAGATTGGCATGTCTTCTTCCATTTAACAAAAGATGAAAAAAATTCCCTGAACAAGTGCAATAACTGAACAATATTCCATTTGAATGTTAAGAACTAGATTTTTCTGCTGAGATGTGTCCAGTATTAGTTACTCAATAATCTCTCTTTAATGCAGCAAACTTTTTTCTGCATTGAAGGAGGATTTATTCCTACCATGTAAGAAAAGTATTTATTACATTCTAGTAAAATATAAATTTTGAATTTATTTGTATTTGAACATATATATTTATGGAAATCAAGAGTATTTTTTCAAATTTATTAAAATTACAATATATTTCAAATATTCAAATATTAATATTAAAATTACAATATTTCAAATTTATTTCAATTACAATATCCGTTTTTTAATTTTCTTTTTACTTTTACTAATTTCTTAAAGATGGGAGTTAATAAATGTTTTTATGGTACTTTTAATTGTATTGATTTGCAACAAAAAGAATTTACTGTTAACCTCTGAAATTACCTATGCCACTTGATTCACTGTCAATAACACTGCTTAAAAATTTATTTTAAAAAATTGTTTCTTTAATTTTCACAATTTGAAGAAATGTTAAATCAAGAGAATGTATGGATATGTCAGAATGTAATATTTATTTCTGTAAAATTATCATCTTCTGGTGTGGAGTTTTAAAATCGCAGAGGAAGTGCACTCATTAAACAATTGTAATTTTGGAGAGGTGATGTACCCTCAGATGTTGTGGTACAAAAAGTGTCAGTCAAAAAAATATGTTAATTGTGTATTTTCTTGTCTACTTATTAATAGTAATACTGATTAAAACTAAATTATTAGTAATTGAAAGAGAACTTTGATAATTTCATATTTGGCTCTTTAATGTTAAATGAATTATTTGTTAATTTGTCCTTCCAAAAGGAATTTGTGCAGTTTATATGGTAGTTAAATGTTTTAAAATGCATTACATATACTTCTAAGTAAAAACAATATCAGAAATGTTTTGTCAATAGTATTTTGCCAGTGTTTAGTGCTGTTTATGACAGCACCTCACCATTTTACTAGTGTTTGTCTCATACTTTAATAGGGAGGTAGATTTTTGTGTCTTCCTACTTGCACCATAGAGGAGATTATCTACATGCTGCTTTGAACATGTAAATGAGGAATAAATATCAAAATGCTTTCACCCCAATTTCATTTACATGCATAGGTTAATAAATGTGGGCTGTCAGTTTAGTTTAAAAAATGCATAGTTAACTCCTATTTAGATTTTTTCTTTGAATCTAATGAATTATTGACATTTGTGTTTCTCTGGGTTTGACACCTCTGTAACATAATGCTTTTACACTCTTCCAGCCTTCCTTGATTGGATGTTATCATGCCTATCTCACATGACGGGAAGCTTAGGATGGAGCCGTGGTTTTGATAACACAGGACAACTCATGAAAGATCTCATTTGGTATTTAGCTGAAATTGTTACTGCATTTCATTGCAATAAAGGAGGGCAAGGTGGTGCTAGTCTTGCCTCATTCATGGGAATGAGTGTTACGAGAAATGCGATTATTTGTATGAATCATATTCTTTGTGAAATGCAAAATACTGCTACAAACAGGGTAAGCATATTATATCTATTTTTGAAGTATTATCTATGTATATAGAAGGGAGAACACTGACTGACTTACCTGACACATCAGCACAGGCATAGCTGCGGAACTGGATATATGAAATTTGGTGAACAGATTCCTATTGTAATGTATTAACCACTAAGAAATAATTTTTCAGAATTTATCCCCTGAAGATGTGAAGCGAGTGTTTGTTACTGTAAGTTTTGCAAAGAGTTTGGAACAATTAATTTATTGTTCACATCTGCTAATTGCAACAAAGATAATTGCTGCAAACGAGGAAGTACAGGAAAGGGAGGGTGAGACAGAGATTGACATCATTGTATAGAACCACACATTCAGCCATGATCACCTTCGTATAAAACTGTTTGGCACTATAATTAATTGTGTTCTCTCAGGGACTTTTCATTCAGATCATTTTTGTATTACCCTAAAAGATTTTTTGTTTATAAAAATAAACCTATTTATTTTCTTACTAGCGGAGCTCAGCAGACGTCCTGGCCTCTATCTCTTCTTCCCTCTCTCTCTCTCTCTCACTCTGTGTGTGTGTCTCTCTCTCTGGCTGACTTCCCCTCTCTTCCTCTCCCCCTCTCTCTTTTGCTTTCTCTCTCTGTCTGCCTATCTCTCTCTCCCGGGAGGAATTTCACAATCACAGGGATAGAATACGCAATGAAGACGTCTTAATAATTGTACTTCAGGGTGTGGTGGGTTGCCTCAAGCACCATTATGTTGAGTGCTCTGTTCAGGGTGCTTGATTCAGCATAAAATCATCATCAACGCATGTCTATGTGTGCAGGCATGTGCACATTCCCAGTGTACTGTGCGTTTATTCTTCCCACAAGTGCCAGCAATAAGTTGACAAAGTTTTATCACAATCAGATGAATGGCTTACGGCATCGCAGTAAGCACAAACCAACATAAAAAAAACAACCAACAACATTGTTTTTTATATATTATATATTCTGTCATGCTTACCATTGCAAACATGATCTTGATGTAGTTCCAACCAAACTTTTAAGAATATTTTGACAAGCCCAGTGTTTTTAAGATGTCAAAACAAAACTGTGGAATGGGTAGGTTAATTAGAAATGAAGGTAGCAAAATAGTTGCTAACTGCATATATTCGAATTTTATTAAGGCAATTAGCATATAGCAAATGCAAATTGTTTGCTTGACAAAAGATTGATGGATCTTTTGGGGGAAAATATCTTTATTTAATTTTGTGTTTCAGAGCTGGGAGGCTGCTTGGTTTACTGCTTTAACTGGAAGTGACTTGGAAGGAGGAGTGAGTCTCAGTTGGTTGCCCACACTTTGGTTGAGTAGAGACCCAATCATACGTTGTTCATCTCTTCAGTTAGTTGCGGGTTTGTGTTCGACTCAGCTTGGAAGTAGGTTCTTGATTCAAGGATTGAGAGGATCTCCTCCAGATATATGGGAGGTTTCTTTAGGGTATGCTTTTCAGTTTCTTCAAAGTCAAATGTGTATTTAATTTATGTTCTTGTATAAAGTAAAATTTCTCACTTTCATGCAAAATTTGTTGGTTTGTGTTTTAAAGATTTTTGCTAGATCATGAAGAGGCAGGTGTGGTACGTGAGCAAGCTGCTGTTATTCTTACAAACCTGAGTAATCATGGAATGCCAAATATTTCTTCTGTTTGTCTTGACTCTAATTCTCCACAAGAGGTTACGTATATTAAAAAAAGTTTATATAAATACTTAACACATTGTTATGTGTATAATCATATGAGCATATTTTAACATGTTTCTGAAAATATAAATGAAACAAAATACTAGAGCTAATTTACAATCACTTTGTTCTAGAGAGAATATTTACTTAATTAACACTACAATTTGGAATTATAAAAAAATGTTAAAATATGTAGTTTTTGAATGTGCATTAATGTATTTGTATGCTGAATGAAGATCTGTTCAAATTGTCTTTTGAAATGATATATTTTGAATGTTACAGACACCACCTACTGTAAGCATTCATTCGTTCCTTTCACTCCTAGAAGATAAACATTTTTTTCCTGGCATTGTTCTTATGGTAAATTGTCTATATTTGGGAACTAATGTGAAGCCTGGAGTCTGGATGTGGTCTAACACTTGGACTGCTGAATCTTCTACAGGAACAGGTGTTTCTCAAGATACTAATTTGCTCCATGGTGAGGTTTCCCCCCCTCAGTTCTATGAATGTTTGGCCCTAAGCCGCCATCCTGATTGAGGTTTTTCTGGGTTTACTCAACCGCTTAAGGCGTATGCCGGGATGGTCCCTAGGTGTGTTTCTTTTCTTTTCTTTTCTTTTCTTTTCTTTTCTTTTCTTTTCTTTTCTTTTCTTTTCTTTTCTTTCTTTTGCATTCTCTTCTACAACTCTTAAACTTGTGAATCTGTTTTAATATGTTTAACTATTGATAAGACCCATGGTCTCACTGGACACAAGATGGGGCATACACTGGATAAGGCTGCATTAAGTTCATTCTGAAAACTACTGTATTTCTTCCATGAACAATGATAATAATGATGATGAGGAAGAGTTGAACACTTTGAAGAGAATTTAACAAACATTGAACTCATGTATATGAGAACTAATTAGAATTTACTGCTAAACCTGCACAGAATGAAACATCTTCAGCAACACTGTGCCCTTCAGTTTTTTCAATCACTCAAGATTTCTTTGTTGGTAAAGTTTACATAGAATGTGCTCTTGACAAATGGAATTGCTTCTCTGAAAAGAGATTTCTATTATTCCTGTGAAAACATGAATCCCTGAATGCTGATTTGACTCAGTTCAAGATTTGCCTTTCAACAATAGTAAAAAGCTATTGAATGCTCTGTACACTTCCTTTTGAAGATCCATATTGACACTAAATCTTATTGACAGCCACAAACTACTTGCATATAGCACAGTATATGCTATGAAAGTGAAGAGTGCAGAAGCACATGTGTCAACAGTCACTCGTCACTCTTTAACAATAATGCTCTCATCAGTTTACTGATATTTCCTGCTTAGAACATTTGCTCACAACTTGTTTTTCAGTATCTTTGCTAATAAAATGTCAGAGCTGCTGTGACACATAAGTGACTCATCAGCAATGTAAAGAATTGTTTTTCCTCTGCAACATATTTACTTGATTAAACCTTCAATGCAGAATGCTATCTCGAGATGACATGTGCCTTTCACCTCTGAAACTAGACGTCTGTGCTGCAGGATGCCTCGAGGAGATGTAGGCTTGCTGAAAAGACTCACTTAGTGCTACCACAGTAGTGTAAGCGTCCCCTTTCCGTTCATCTGCATTGGAATGCTACTGCACCCAACCTCCATTTTGAAGGGTTAAATAAGCTACTTCATTTGTCAATTCTATACTAATAAATGGATATACACATGATCAAATATTATAACTTTTAGTTCTTGTCATGTATATACTGGGCAAAAGTTTTGTAAATGGACACAATATGTATACGATGTGATAATCAGCCTTAGTATTGTCAATAAAAGTTCTGATTGCTAACTTCTTTTGTAGAAAGTACACCAGTAGTGAGTTCAAAAATATGAATTATTATTAACATTTTTTTGTAATTTACCATTTAAATGCATGTAAAATTCTATTTTTGTGTATATGTACTTATATAAAGTAATGTAGTTCAATTTCATTTGTTATAGCATCCCAAGAGGATATTAATCCAAGTTTCCTGACAACACCTAATTTGATTAAGGCTGTGTGTTGGTATCTTAATAATCTTTTAACTGTCTCTCCGGAGGAAATTGTTAAAAATTTATGCAGATATGGTTTAATTAAAATGTTACTTGAGTAAGCAAATTTCACATTTTGTTCTTTGCTTTATTTTATTTTATTTTTTGTTTTCTCTAAATATTTTTACTTTCTTTTTTTGTTTCTATCTAGGGCTATTTGTGGTATTCCAGATGTATTTTCAACAAGAATGGAAATATTACAATATTCTGAACTTTTAGAAATGTACATTGCAGTTTGCACAGTTTTAACAAAAAGTGTTTGTATTGATTCTGAATGCCTTTCCCTTACTTTAAATATGAATGATTGTTTGAAAAAAGTTCTTAATCTTCTGAATCCAGTTTTGTTTAGTAAGTTTCTTAGGCATAGAATTTGAAAAATAAATAGTTACATTTATGTTTATGAGTAACATTCTTGTTTTAGGTACATATCGTGGAGATCTTGTCCACTTGCGAAACAGGCTATGGAGTAGAGTGTTTCGTTTGTTGTCCTGTTTTCTCATTGACTCTAAAGGTTATGAAATAGTTTTAAATACTATATTCCAATGTAATCCACATGCCTTTTTGACTACTGTGGAAAGTTCAATTAATGGAAAATCTTCGACAGATTTACGAAGCAATGCTTTAAGTACTCTCACTCTATTATTGTTATTGGAAGCCAAGACATTGTTGTTTCAACAAGTGAGTATTTTGTGTTCTAGAAATTACATGTAAGTACTACATGTAAAGAGTAAAATGAAAGGATAGTTGAATCTCTTCATTGCATTATCTTTTTCTTGCAATGATTCCTGTACTACATTGCTTTTAATAGATCCGCTCTTCTTTCTTGTTTCTAAGCCAGTACCTGGACTTGCAAAAGTCCAGGGGCATTCTCTTGCTGTTGTAATACCCAGTAATATGTCTTAATTTATCAAGTAATAATTCTTTAACTAACAGTGAATTAGCTTTCTTCGTTCTTACTATCTTAATTAGTAGGGGTGAATTTTGATGACCTAAAACATCACCAAAAATATTCAATAAAATGCCCTTACAGTGGTTTGAAAATGCCCTAAAAGCAAGAAAAAAGATGTAAAAAAATATGTTAAAAACCAGTTTGGATGACCAACTACAGCTCTTGGATACTTAACTGAAGTAATCGAGGCTTCTTGTTCAAGTGAACTCGGCTTTCAAACTTTTGGTTAAGACTGTTCTTTACGTACTAGTCTATAGAATATCCCGAAATCAGGTGAACCGAGACTGATAGGTATTAAAGGAACCATAGGTTACATACTCAAAATGGTTGTCATGCAATTTCTGTGTCTAAGAAATTGAAAAGGCTTTTCTAGAATTCTGTGGAGAACATTTGTTGCATCTCGTAAATATTATTTGAAGTAAATACTATTAAAATGGTATTAAATCCGATGAAATCAGCAAACAATACGTTAAAAATGACGGAAAAAGGGAAAAAAAATACTTATTAGCTGAAATCGAAAAATGCCAAAAACATAACATAAAAAATGTGTCAATTCCCTTTGTCATATCATAGAATTAATTTCTATACTAAAGTGAAAAGAAAGAAAATGACATTTCATTAAAATCTGCCCTTTATTAATGAGCTTTCATCAGTTGATTACTTCAGCATGAAATGTAAAATTTTCTATTCATTTAATTGTATGTTATCTCCACTTGGATATTGATTAATTTGACAGTCTTTTGTTTTCCACATCAAATATATTTTTACTATAATTTAATATTTAAAATGAATGAATATGAACTGATTATGGAAGAAATTAGTTGTGAAGAGTTGAAAGTGGAGGAAGGGAATTTTATGAGGATATTTCAAAGTAATTTTGATGCTCTGACATACTCATTTTGCAACTTGGGATTCACAAAAAATATGCCATCAGGGGGAAGCATAAAAGTATTTTACATCTATCGAGTTTACAAAACACTAGGGAAATGAAGGAAGCAACTCAATTCAGGAATTGAGAATAAAAATTATTTTTTCTCAGTCAGTAAAATGCAGAAAGTGAAGTGATTTTGAATTCAGATAAAGTTCTTATTGGTGATGAGAACATTCTATAAATTGTGAAATGACAAAATCTGGGAACTGTTATTCAAGAGGGTTAAAAAAGGAACAAGATATCTTCCATGATCAAACTTACAATTAATACATGGGCGCACTAGTTCTCATGGAATAAATTGTTGCATCACTGCAAATTATGAATTTCATAAAAGAAGTGGCACTGGTCAAACTTATTAGATATTTTTTTCTTCTTCTACAATTTACATTGTAAAATCGTTAAATTTCTTGGTATTGTCTTCTCATGTTATCGAAATCACCCGAGTCATTTATAATTTTTTTCTGAGATGTGTCTTTATTCTTTTTATGAATTGTAATCTGTTTGTCTGTTAGCTCATTATTTTCTATTTCCTCGCCCCAGAAGTATTTTACGTCTTTTGAGTTTACAAAACACTAGGGAAATGAAGGAAGCAACTCAATTCAGGAATTGAGAATAAAAATTATTTTTTCTCAGTCAGGAAAATGCAGAAAGTGAAGTGATTTTGAATTCAGATAAAGTTCTTATTGGTGATGAGAACATTCTATAAATTGTGAAATGACAAAATCTGAGAACTGTTATTCAAGAGGGTTAAAAAAGGAACAAGATATCTTCCATAATCAAACTTATAATTAATACATGGGCGCACTAGTTCTCATGGAATAAATTGTTGCATCACTGCAAATTATGAATTTCATAAAAGAAGTGGCACTGGTCAAACTTATTAGATATTTTTTTCTTCTTCTACAATTTACATTGTAAAATCGTTAAATTTCTTGGTATTGTCTTCTCATGTTTTCGAAATCACCCGTGTCATTTATAATTTTTTTCTGAGATGTGTCTTTATTCTTTTTATTAATTGTAATCTGTTTGTCTGTTAGCTCATTATTTTCGATTTCCTCGCCCCAAAAGGAATTTTGTCCATTTCTCATTTTTAATCCAATATATTGCTTCGGAACAACCCTGAATCTCGTTAATTAAATTATGAAACTTCCTTTTTATTGAAAATATATTCAGGATGCCCTTTCTGTGAGTGATTTAATTTATTTTTGAATATAAGTATCTCAGTGTCTCTTTGGTTGTTACAAACAATGAAACTTGATGTATAGATCAAGAAATATTTTCAAGAAGTAGATCAAACAACTCCTGTTACTCAAACCATGAATTCGTGGTAATGAACAGATTATCATTGGTGTATTGAGGTTGCTAAGTTTCGTACTTTTTGTTCTTAATTTAGTTTTTCCATTTCTATTCAATTCATTTCTAACTTTCAAATAAATTTATTTACAGTTGAATGTTGAACAAGGAGATATTAAAAATGCCCATAAAAAAATTTCTTTACAAAGTATTCTTGATAGAGAGACTGTGAAAACTTTGGATTCAAATATCCAATCAAATTCAGGGGCAAATCTGTGTAGACAGCTGATGCATTTATATGAAGTACAGAGTTTACGACACTGTTCTGGGGACAACAAAATGCCATCTTACTTCCCGAAAGCCGCAGTTATGGGGGCTTTGTCAAGTTTACTTGCTGTATCACATGAAGCAAAAAAAATTGCATTGAAAGAAGGACTACTAGAAAACATAATGGTGCAGCTAAAAGAACTCCATGTTCATATCAGTGTAGAAGCAGTAGACAATTTACGCAAATCATCTGATAGGAAACGAGTATGTATATTATTTATCAGTTTCATGTTTAAGTGTTTCATAGCTCTTTGTATTCTTCAGTTCAGCAATTGAATAAATTTTATCCTTATTTTACAGGTTAATGCTGTTTTTCAAGAAGTGAACTTGTTATTTTCTTTATTAACAAACTTCTTATACAATGCCCCAGATGTGAAAGTGGCAGCAGTTAGTGCTAGTTTAGCTGATACTATCCACAAATTGTGGGCTTGGTGCTACATTCTACCTACATTATTGAGCGATACTTTAAAGTTACTATGTACTTTTACTACGTATTGTATACCAGGTAAATCAGAAAAAGAAAATTTAATTCTGTTATATGGAAGGCTAATTTCATATGAGATCTTTGAAGATTACAAAGAAAAAAAATTGTGGGTCATGAACATGTTTATTTTTTTACAGCATGTCAGTCACTTGTTTTAACCACCCCAATTCTGGGTGTAAATGCTCGAAGAGCTCCTTCTTCTAATTCTCTGTTACATGAAATTGTAAATTTAATACTTCGAGAATTGGAGGTTCAGGGCAAGGGAGGAGACACAAGTGTTTTAGCACTGGCTTTTCATTTACTCCAGAATGCAAGTCACTCACAAGAATGTAGAGTAGTATTATTTAAGGTAAATATGTACAAACCTTGTTGGATTGAAAATTTATTGGTACAGTTCTAAGTTTTCAGAACAATTTCATCAATAAGTATTTCTTTTGTGTAGACTGCATTATTTCAGAGTTTGAACAAATTACATCCTTCTTCGACCAAGAAACAAAAACATTGGGAAGCAGTGGAGATGTTATGGTTACCTTTTTTAATTGACTGTACATTTCACTTAGAGGGACAACTTGGACTACCAAAGGTCAAGCTTTTTCCAAATTTCTGATTGTGATTTTTCAAAAATGAAGTTTGAACATATTCGTGTATTTTTCAGATACCAGAAGCCTTAGATATTATTATTGCAATGACAGACAGTTCAAAGCCTTTAATACAACACTCTGCTCTTGCTGTTCTTCGTAATATAACATTTCATCATCTTAATCGACCAAGATTGTTATCATCCAGTAAGTGGTTGTAAGTTAACTATGTAAGAACTCATAGTTTTTAGAGTAATATAGTTTTAAGCCTTATTATCAAGATATTTAGTGACTACCAAATTCATACATAATTGATTTACATTTTATAATTCTTGAAAAATATTTATTGCAATTACTAAATTGACATTTTTCCTGGACAAGATGGTATCTATAGAATAACCTTGAAGTCTTGCTCCTCCAAGTAAGTTTTCTGTTGGTTAATATGGGTAATTTTTTGTAGATACAGGAGACACCCTTGTATCATTGGCCGCTTATTTTTATTGGCATATTTTGTTCCTTCTTTGTAAGCAATTTGGGGAACTCTAAGGAAAACTCCAATTATGTGTTTATAATGGTAATAGTTGCATAATTTTTCATTTAGTTTCTATTAACTTCATTTTGAAAAATATGAAATTTCATGTTTTGCATGAGTTTCAGGGGATATATCAAAATAAAGAATACATCTTCAAATGTGATTTTACTTGGCAATTTGCTTTATATCTCTTATGTATACATCCCACTCTGAAGGTTTAAAACGATAAACCTAAATATAAGAGCATTAATAAGGTCATATTAAGGCCAAAGTAAAGAATGACTTTTTTCAAAATTCATTTTTTCAAATACTCCATCTCAGATTTTTGTTTTTTTGTCGGCAAATTGCAGTGAAGATATTGTAGTTTATAGTGGTTAAAGAATCTCAATGATAAATTGGAATTTGCCAAAGATATTAGCAGTCAAAGATAGCAGTTTTATTTTTGCTTTTTATGAGCTTAGGAGAACAATACATATATATGCTTGTCATTTGTAAATCTTGCTTTTATTATTGAGTAATTGATTCAGACATTTTAAATGTATCTGAAGCATATTTTTGAAGGCAAAGGCAGAAACTTAGTTGTATACTGGGTGTCCCCCCTAGTTGTGGGCCACCCTTATATCTTTTAAACAGTTCACAATATCGAAATGCAACACTGCAGAATCATGGGGCTTTTGCTCAACAATGTGGCATATTGGGGCAAGTAATGTGCTGTAGAGATATTGTCTGTAATATGTATATTTTTGCGTGGTTGTAGTAGCAAGTTTTTTGGAGAACTAAGCATTCTCAATTCAATGCAGTGTTCAAGGAGTACTTTGGTCTTATTTCTTCATGAAAAAGATTTTACAGGAGCAGCTGAGTAGCATTTCTTTGTCACAAAGCATGGCAAGGGTCCTAGCAATGGTTTAGGGGGAACATTGAAGCGATTAGCATTTCGAGCTAGTTTACAAATGTCTTCTGATAGTCAAATTCAAACAGCCAAGCAATTACACAAATGGGCATCAGTAAATATAACCGGTATTACATTTAACTTTTATATGAGGAATAATAAACTTACATACTTGCTTTCCACAAAAAGATGATACAGCTTGTTTTAAACTTCACTCTTTGGATGAAAACTGAACTATTATAAATGTATCAGAAGATTATAACTGAAACTTTTGTCTTACACTAATTGAAGGTCTCAGTACAATGTAAAACGATAATTTAAAAATAGTTTTTGACATTAATGAGACATTCTGAACATTGAGGAGAAGAGGGATGGAAAACTTGTTCAAACATCTGTTACAGATCAGGAGAAAGAAAAAAGACTTATGAAGCAATCCATTGTCAGACGTATTGCCAAGATGGATATTGTGGCTACGATGGTCTAAATGTGTTTTTAATTTTGTTGTTATTAATTAATATTTAATCTACCATTATACATAAATTAAAGATTCTGCCTTCGAAAATATGCTTCAGATACATTTCAAAAGTAAGAGAATCAATCACTAAATAATAAAAGCAAGATTTACAAATGACAAGCATATATATATGCATTGCTTTCCTAAGCCCACAAAAAGCAAAAATGAAAATGTATCTTTAACTGCTAATAACTTTGGCAAATTCAAATTTATCATGAGATTCTTTAACCACTCTAAACAACAACGTCTTCTCTGCAATTTCATGATAAAAAAACAAAAAGTTAAGATAAAGTATTTGAGAAAATGAATTTCGGAAAAATATAATTTTGCTTTGGATATAATACAGCCTTATTAACACCCTTATAATTAGGTTTGTCATTTTAAACCTTCAGAGTGTGAGGCTTGAGCATTCATTTCCTTGAATAGGCATATCTGTTGCATTACTGTTCAAAGATTCATCTATAAGAACTAGAAATCTAGATACACAGCACACATAAAATATAAGAAATTTACAAATGAAAGACTGTTGCCACCGTCTAATACATACAAAGACGGGATTCAGGGGGAGGGGCACGAGGAGGCTAGTTCTCCCCCCAATATTCAGACAAATTAAAAAAAAAAATATCAATTCACCGATCTTCAAATATGTATTATAAAACATTTACTTTTTTCTGTATTTTGAAAGGAAATTTAATAATAATTAAACGAAAAATAATTTTATTAATCTGAGTTAATAACATAAAATAATAAATTGATGAACTTTAGTTCAGTATTATAAAACGTTTGGGATAATGTGAATATCTCGTATTAATAAATCATCTTTCAATTATATTTTGCTTTTAACCTTTTTACGTTGAAATTGAACAGTTTCATGCTGAAAATCGTGAGTCGTAACACTCGAATTAACTCTCAAAAAGAAAGAACATTCCACAGTTATGATAAATGACACTGATATTTCAAAATATAAAACAAAATCCAAGCAGCTATAATATATTCTATATTTTTATACATTTGTTATGAGTTAAGCATCAAATACATATTGTGAGCAATACAGATTATTGAAAAGAAATGGTTTAATACATTTAATATTAATGTTAATTATTAATTATTATAAATTAAATTTAATAATAATATACAGAATTTAAATAATTTTTTTACAAAACTTTAATTTATTATTATAAAAAAATACTTGCCCCCCAATAAAAGATCAGAAATCCCACGTCTAAATGCTCATAATGGGATTTTTTCAAAATTCCTGCTGGCTTCTGGTACATGGTGGCCTAAGGCACAACAGATGACCCTACCAGGGGTGGATCCTGATGATCATTTTTGGGGAGTACATCACAGATTTTTGTTAAAAAATAAACATATTCGTTATTATATTGTATATTATTTGTGTACAGTAGACATGATACTGTACAATGTTATTGTTTAAATAATTACATAATTCGAACTTTAATATTTAAATGTAGTTCATATTTTTTCACAATTATCAATTATTTTTACAGCTGTCTACTTGAATTTGCTTAGCAAAAAACTAACAGATGGAACTGATAAAGAAAAGAATACTGTTGTACAGATGGTGTGGGCATTAGTAGCTAACAACCAAAAAGCTAAACTTGTTATGAAGAATTGTGGAATTGGCACCAAACTTCTGGAAATAGTCAATCATATGAAAGTTATAAGTGAAAACAGTGTGACAGATTTACAAATTGAAATATTTAATTATGTGTTAAAAATTATTTATTCTGAAAGAAAGTTAAGAAAGAGTTGAGAGTAGTGATATTTTTATAACTACTGTACATTTATAATTTTACGCAAAAATGTTAAATACTTTAATTGAAGTTTTGAAATAAAGAGGAAGCTATTAATACCAGTATGTGTCAGTTTAATGCATTTTCAGAATTATTTCAGTTTTGTTTTCCCTGATCTTATTGCTCCTAAAATTCAAAGAATCAGTAAAAAGATCTTTTAAAAATTAATTTATTCGTGTTTAAATTATAGTTTTGAATTATAGAAATTGAAACCATAAAAGTAAAGAATGACGGGGTAGTAAACAATCTCCCAATTTTAAGATCGGATGCTGTTGCTGTGACGTCCTGGTTGGTCATACTGGAGAACATGCACCTGGTGGTTGTTGCTGCAGTTATTACTTGTGTGTTGTAAGAGTGGTAGTGTGGCGTCATGGCGTCGACTGTGACACAGTTTCCTCCTCCTTCGTATTCATCTTCATATTTCCTTCGAAATATTGTGAAAGAGGTAAGCCTATAGATAGGATATGTTATTCAACCTTCTGTATGTGACTAGAAACGTGCATTTGACTTTAATAAAGGCTGTCGAAGCCCTAACTTTGATCTGACACGAGATGCCTGTCTTAAGCATGGCTGAGTAGTTGTCAAAACAATGCGGTGTTTTCATTAGTGCCGCGGCGTTCCCGAAAATGAAGTTCGCTTTGAGGGAGTGAAACGATTGTTGGAATATTTCGTGGGTAAAATTGTGTTTGCAATAGTAATTTTTAGCAGTGGCATCATAGTAATTTGATGACAAATTGAAAAGAAATGGGAAAGTGCTTGTAGGATTCACGACGACAAAGTGTTTTTAAGAGTTTTAAATTAAGTTTCCGGTCCATCACTTCCTTACCCCCGAAATTGTTTTAAGATTCTGAAATGATTTTTGTTTTAAAACTTACTTTAACAAAAAATTGTAATTTATGTTGGAATGTAGACGTAAAAACCAATTTTTTCTGGGGGACCATTTTCTTTTCAAGAAGTAATTTTTGTAGCATTGTTTGTTATTGTTCATGCATGATGCTGTATAATACCATTGACTTCATGGGCAGTCTGATCTCGGAATTTTAATTTTCCTCTTCCAGGAATACATTTTTATTATTTTATAAGGTTATTTTAATATACGTCTCAATGTTTTAAAGTTGAACTTATGTAATTGAGTGCGCTGCGTATTTTTGCCTCTTCTTATGTTCGTAAATTTATAATGTTTATTTCCACCAAGTGGAAAATAATTTCTTAGCAAACAGGAATATTGTATTTTTCTATTACAAATCTTTCACAATGTATTTTACACCGGAAGGAATCATAAATGCAATCAAAAACCAAAAATGAACTATAGCGTAATCACCCATACAGAGGAGGTAAATCACTAGTTGTACGCTTGATATGATAAATTTAAACTAGTGGTGCTACAAAATGACATAATTTTCTCGCAATTGCTAATTAGACGAGTCCTTTCTTGTCAAGGCTACCTTTTCGGTTCCATTTTATACTATGAGCTCGCGGTAGCAGTGACCCCGTCTTGTTGCTTTGTACCACTATTTTGGTTGCATGGAACCAGTTCAATTACACAAATTGCACCTAGTAGGTCTCCTACACATCAGGGCAAGGGATTGTGGGAAGAATAACTTGTTTATGTGATACACGGGGAACAGCAAATGCCCCTAAGCCACAGACAACTGAAGACATTAATCCATGTATTTAGTTTTCTTTCCTTTACTTTATTGAGGAAATTTAATAATAAAAAAAAGTACGTTTTTTCATATCACAATTTTTTGGTAGCCCAATGGTTTCATTGAAATAAGGCCATCATAAGAGAGCAACCCGTCTTTTGATACAGAAATTTATGAAGACAAATTATGAGCCGGTATTGAGAAAATGTTACTTGAGCTCTTCAGGAAATGGGCCTTAAAACTCACTTACAAATTACAGGACTTTGAGGCGGTTAGATCGATGGAGAATTGATCATTTGGGGGATATTCCTCTGAATGGTTTAGGCGGTAGTGTTGTTCATAGACAGCTGTTTTGCCGAAAACAATTTTTATAGTATGTAGGATTGAGAAAACATGAATTACACCACATATTCGAAAAAAATCATTTACTACATTCAGGAGCAAGAAAAATCAAATTCTTAGTTATCATAAATCGAGTTTCGCTATCGAAAAATTGGCACTTTTTTCTGCAGCATTTCTTTACTTTCTCTGTACTACTTATATGAGAAAGTAAAAATTGTCGATTGATCAATTTTTGCAGTTTGAATTCAATGCGTGAAAATAAATCCCTTGAACAGGTGTCCGAAAGTATCGTCTTGCTACTAATTTGTTTCAATTGAATCGTTTATTTCAGAAACCCGTCAAACGTCAAATTCCTCATTTCGAGAAAACTAAGAAAAAGTATGCTAGCGATGTAGGTTTGTTTTTTCCGATTTCAAAATATTTTTTAGTATTAAAGCAATTGATAAATGAATAGTTTTCACGTAAATAATTTTTTAAAAAGTTTCAACCCGCAATAAATGACCTGTTTTGATTTGTAATATTTTTTACGAGTATTAATCACTTATAATGAAATTGTGAGATTTACTATTTATTATTTATTACATTATACAAGATAATTTTAGACAATAAAAACGTTTAATACAAAATCTTGACAAATCAGACTTGTTATTCATCTTGAAGCGCATCAACACTATCACCTTCACCATCTCTGGTTGGCCAATGCAAAATTTTGTCATAAAATTGTTCATAGTCAACTACACGAGGTCTCATACCTACAACAAGAACTGTAAAATGTAGAACAAACGTGTCTAATGCTGTTGGCGCATGGACCGCCAAATTCAAATTTGGCGCCACGCTTCGAACAGCTCAGTTTTGTTGCTGTTTGGAGGTTTTTTAGAAGAAAAGATCTTACATTTCAAACTTCCCGCCTTCGAGACTAATCTGGCTCAAAAACCGCGCGAATTCCTTCCCAATTGACCAAATAATAATTTTTTGTACAATGTATTTTGACATAGATTGTTAACTGCTTTCTGTTCGAAGAGTCGATCCTTTTGATCGCATCATCTCCTGGACAGCCGCGGCGAAAAATTTACCCATTGTCAGACTTCTCGGAATCCAATTTTTTTCACATCAGACGCGACGAGCTTGCATTGTTATGAAAATCAGAGGAGCTGCGAGTAGTTTCGTAGCGATCGTGCACAGAAGCAAAGTGAAACGTGTATTGGGCGCATTGAAAGTTTGATTCGGCTTGCTGCCAAGCAATTCCCAGCACATTTCTGCAGTCTGCGTGACCTCAAACGCCAAAACGCGACATAAAAGAGCATAAGCACAAAGCGGGAAATTCGTGAGGAAAACGTTTATTTTCGTCCGGATGGAGGTAATCATGGCAACCTCTTCAATACTCATTGATTCGGCAAAGTAATAATCTTTGTCAATTATGTGTCGTTTCTTTTCCAGAACTCTCTCGTCTGGTGAGTACATAAAGGCGATGTCCATTGCAGTTTCTTCTAATGCTCTCCCAATTCATCTAAGTAATATTTCTCAGCCTCTACAAATGCAATAATGTAACCAAATTTTGAATGTTTGAATGTAACCAAAATATTATGGAAGTGTTTTCTTACATTGAGTAAAACAAATTCATGTTTTATATGTACGTACTATTTTAGTTACATGAAATGCCCTCCGGCCTTGTTTTTAGATCTACTTTCTTACCAGTGTACGAAACATATGTCTCGCCTTTTCACCCTGACATTGTGTATGATATTACGGTGATAAGTTCCTTCATGTCTCCTTTTAGGTACAAGTTCATTTTCAGAACTAGATGTTCTAGTTCTGACGAAAAAACTTTTTCTCACTTTTTCTTACTCACTAATCGCAGCTAAATCAAATCACTTGCAAAATAAATTTTAAAATGCCACTCTGAACAGATGCTGGGTACGAACTGAAAAGAACAATATCGTAGAGACGTGAACCTTTCTTAGAAAATCTTCCTTCCCGAACGTGTAACCTAACCGACCCCTGAGGTGGTGCTGATGACCCTTCAAAGTAGCGTGGATTAGATGTTACATCCTGATTTTCGTGGTTGTCCGCATGTGACCACTGCAGGGTTAAAAGGAAATTTCCTTTTGGTTTAGAGCAGAAACCCGTCAAACGACGTCGCTTGACGAGTTTTTGCTCTAAACCCGATATTTTAGGGTCTTTCAGACTACATTGCAAGAGTTGCAAATATATTATTTCTACACTAAACGATGTGTTTATTTTCATAGAACAATATCCTGAATTCTTATATAACGCAATACACAGGTGTTTTAATTTTTTAATAAGTATAGGCGGTTGATTCTTGTGCGCTTCTAATACATTTGGAATACATGACTGTCCATGGCCCTAATTTCTTAAACCAGGGTGCGAATTAAGGAGGGGGGCTGGCATTCTGGAGATAGTCGTCCCTAGAGAATTTGGTGTCTCATACTAAGAAAGTTTTGGTGTATCTCTTTCAGGGAAATTTAATTATGTATCATTTCCAAATTTTTGGGAGTTTATCTAGATTGTTGTAAGAGTAAGTACAGTAAATGAAGTATTCCTTTCATCCGACACTTCGATTCGTTCCTCCCCCCTCCCGAGTTGATCTTTCCGACATGGAGGAAATTGGCAATTCTTTCCTTACCTTTAACAATGAGTTTTCCCACTTTGCCTTTGTTAGTCACCTATAAAAAATTGTAAAATATGCTTTAAGAAATATCGGCTTCTGAAAGATATTTACTTAGAACAGGGCTGTTCAACTTCAACTTTATTGAAACAATGGCTAATAATGAGTATATCATTATTTGCTGACAGTATTGAAACAGATGGAAAACATCGAATCTGCCTTTTTCACATAATCGCCAAATTTCTTTTCCTCTTCTGGGACGTCGAACTTATCGTAGGCTCTGTGAATCGTAGAGTCTTGCAATTTTGGAATTATTCGAAAAGAAATTTCTACCTGGGACCTGTGGCAAGTGCGCTATAAGTAAGTACAAATTTAGCACGTTCATCGTGTGGTGGATCCCAGCGATTGTCAAAAAGGACCCCGTCCTTTCCAAAGCCAAATTGTTATGGTCATTTTACTCAATTTACTTGAAACAGTTTCCACATAGTCGATCGCATACATTCACCCGAGTATTTTCATTATGAATAAGTTTGGCGTTTGTAATTCAGCCTAACATTTCTTTAAAACATGTTTATTATTTCAGAAATATTTAGAGTATTCATCTGAAATTGCTCCTACCCGAATCTCTTTTTGGTTCGCCTGCGGTTCATCAGAACCTAATTTAGAAGAAGCGATTAGATCTTGTATTGGACATTTTTCTATTACACAATATTTTCCACAAAATATGATTTGTTACTTGATCTAGCTATATGGGGGACATCTTAAGGCTAAATGCACCGAAAAATACTTGTAGGAAAATTCAATAGATCGCAGCACTATCACGGAGATTAC